AAAAAAAAAAAAAAAAAGAAGTCCACATTCTTAGGGATGCTGCATAGCTCGTTTTTTTAAATCCCAGCCTGGTAGGCCCCAGGCTCCACAATCATCAAGTTTGTGAGTCTCACTTTCTTCAGGTGTAAAATGGAGTAGTAATACCTACCCTATAGAGATTTTGTAAGGACTAAGTGAAATCCAGTGTCTGGGCAATAAACCTGTTGCCATTCAGTCGATTCCAATTCATAGAGACCCTATAGGACAGAGTAGAACTGCCCCATAGGGTTTCAGACTGCCACATCTTTCTTCCCTGGGCCACAAGTGTCCAATGTATCAGAGCAATTATTTTTTTTATAGTCTCCTGGGATCTCTCTTTTTGCTTCTTCTTCATGTACTTGTTGGATCACTCCATCTCCAAGCACTCCTTGAACAGTAGTATTTCTCAGGTAGTCATCTTCAGCTTAGAACTTTATTCACTCTTATTTTTATTCATTCTTTTAATTTCATTTACTGCCTATATCCTGATGATCCCCAAATCCTTATCATCAACCTAAATCTCCATGAGTTTAGAACTATCCAGCAGCACACAGGATACATCTGTTACAAATTTTAGGCATCTAAAACTCAACGTATCCAAAGCAGAATTCATCTTCTTTTCTTAAATCTGACCCTTCTCTTCCCAATTAGACTGTAAACCATGGGACAACAGGGACCATGTTGGGACATGACTATACTCCCAGAACCTAGAAAAATGCCTGGCACATAGGAGTTAGATATTTGCTGAAGGACTGAATGAGCTTTTATGCATCAGTAAGATGACTCCTATAAAGGTGGCAAAGGCCTTGAGTCCCTTCGCAAAACTAGGTTGCTCAGGGAGGAGCCACCCTGTGTGATTCTGGGATAACAGCTGGGCCTAAAACCCTGGTCCTTCCTATTACATACACTACCTCCTTTCAATGATCATAGGTAACACAAACACAAGACACTTCTCAACCACAGAAAAGCCTTTTGATTTTATTTAATAGTTTACATGTTTTTTAAAATGTTGATAAACACAAGCTTGTACTTGGAGCTGGACAACAGGCATGCTTTTAACATAGGACTTTCATCCTAGAATGCGACTTCTTCCAAAAATTATTCAGTCCTAGCCTAGACCTCTTGCTATAGGCAAGTTCCATGGGAATGCATGAAAGAGAGGCAGGGAAACAGTCCCCATGGGAGACTGCAGTTTCTTTAAAAACAGGCTAATGAACCTGTGAAGTTCATAAAGTGCCTTTCCCTTTAGTTAGTTATCCAGAGTGAAGTCAAAGGGCTCAAAGTCTTTCCGGAAGCGGCGGGCTAGGGTCTCTTCCTCTTCTTTGCTGATCTGACACTGCCTCCAATCAGACTTGTCAGGAATATTAAGGATGGCTTCACTGGCCAAGACCTCCCTGCAGAAAGGGCACAAAGAAGTCAAAATGGACAGCATCAGCCCCAAATCCCCTTGTCTTAGACATCTAGTGCTGCTGTAACAGAAATACCACAAGTGGATGGTTTTAATGAAGAGAAGTTTATTTCCTCATAATCAAAGTAGGCTAAAAGTCCAAATTCAGGGCATCAGCTCCAGGGGAAGCCTCTTCCTCTCTGTTGGCCTTCTCATCAGTGTTCCCCCGGACTAGGAGCTTCTCGGCGCAGGGACCCCGGTCCAGAGGACGCGCTCTGTTCCCGGCACTGCTTTCTTGATGGTATGAGGTCCCCCTGTCTCACTGCTCACTTCTGTCTTTTATATCTCAAGAGATTGCCTCAGGACACAATCCAGTCTTGTAGATCCAGTCCTGCCTTACTAACACAACTGCCACCCGTCCTCCCTCATTAACATCATAGAGGCAGGTTTACAACATACAGGAGAATCACACAGTACCAGGAATCATGGCCTAGCCAAATTGATACACACATTTTTTGGGGACATAATTCAATCCATGACACCCCTCCTCCCTCTGTTCCTCTCCAGCCAGAGAGCTCTCCTCAGCATCACCCAAAGAAGGTATGCAAATTCCTCTGACTTTGCTCACACCATTCTCCAGCTCTGAGTGTCACTGCTGCCATCTGTCTACCAAAATTATACCCATCTTAAGTAATCAGCTCAGGTCCTACCTCTTTCCTAATACCTCGTACCAGATTAACTTCTTCTCTTGAACAAACTTGGAACTATAAAATTGGTACTTAGAGAAGCAATATGGCACAGTAGAAAGAGGGCAGGACCTAGAGTCAAAAAGACCAGAGACAGATTTCATTCCTAGCTCAGCCACATGCTGTCTATGAATTGAACAAATGATTCTCATCTGTGAGTCTTGATTTCCTCGTCCACGAAATGAGAATACCTAATACCACCTTCCTTACGAGGTTTTGTCAGATGTGGAGAAAACACAGAGCATCACAGTAGTTGTGCTTACATTCTGCCTTAAACTCTAGTTTTGACATCCCAACTAGATCATGAGTTTGCTGACAGCCTGGTACAGTCAGGCACTTAGTGTCATACCCACTCTGACTTGAAATTCCTCTGCCTCTCCTTCTAAGGACTTAGGTCTAGATAGGCACAGTGGCATAAATCCACTGTCAACAAAACAACTTATCTTGGCCCTCGGGACTAAAAAATGACCACACGCAGACACACACATACAATGCCACTACATAAAGCTTTCTTCTAATTGCCATTGCTTTTTTTATCTTTATTTTAACTTATTTTGATATATCAGAAATAACTCTATTTGCACATCTATATGGTCCATATTCCACTTTGAAGCTATGATAAGTAGAAGGGCTGAATCCAAAACACACAAATCCTCTAAAAGTCAAAGGACCTGAACTCAAGTTCTAGCTCACTAGGCAAACCTTTCAGCCTACTTCTTCATCTATAAAATGAAGATGGCACTATCACTCTTGTACAGCTGGAAAAAAAAAAAGCTTTTTCAAGTATTTTGTTAACTACAAATAGCTGTAAATATATTTTGGAAATACTCGATGTTGAAAATACAACTGACTATCATGAACACAAAACCATTCACAGAATCCCCCTTTTGTGGGCTCTATATTTTTGATCATGTGCCTATGTCATCAGTGTCCACATCTGCATCTGTTGCTGAGGCAACAACAAAAAGATAATGTCATAACATTAACAATGCTCATAGCACACTTACTCTCATTTATCGATTATCTTTTTAAAAATGTAGACAATACATTAACTAGATTTATCCAATGGTGGCAATCTCTTGGAGGCTTTCCAAAGTAGTCCAATAAGCATTCAGGACACTTGGAAAAAAAACAGCTGCAAACTACAGACACCAGCATCAGATAATCTCTTCTACCCATTTTCTACTCCTCTCCATACTCTTGCCTCTTCTTGCCAGCTCATCCCTGTCGTCCATCTTTGCTTAACTTATACCATTCCCCATATGGTTTTACAGTTACGTACTGCCTCATGTTAGGACCAGAAATGAAGCCTCATACAGGCCTTTAAGTTAGTACAGAATAATGAGGTTAAGGCCTCACGTTTTGGGGTACAACAGGCCTGGGTTTGAACCTGCAACTGTGAGACCATGGACAAGTTATCAAACCCCTCTAGAGCTGTGCTGTCCAATACAGTAGCCACTAGCCAGGTGTGGCTATTTAAATTAATTAAAATTAAAAATTCAGTTCCTTAGCTATATTAGCTACATTTCAAGTGCTCAACAGCCACATGTGGCTAGTGCGGGCAATGCAGATATATAGAGCGTTTCCATCATGTGGAAAGCTCTATTGAGCTCTGCTCTAGAGCGTCGCTCTCCACATCAGTAAATTGGGATGGAAGTACCTACCTAAAACAGTTGTGAAATAATTCAATGCATGTAAAGTTCTTGGCATAGAGCATACGCTCAATTAATGGTAGCACTTTACTACCTCTAGCTGGAATACCTCACCCCAATCTTTGCCCTCTAAATCCACCTCTCAGGTCCGGTTTCAACCCTTTCATGACGCCTTTCACCAAGTAGAAATGAACTCTTCCTTCTCTGAATGTCTAAAGTATATTGCTCCCCAAAACTTTGTCATGATACTTTTCACATTATGCATTATATTACTATCATATATGTAAATACCTGACTTGCCCTAAGACTGTATAGTCCTTGGGACAAGGACTATTTCTTATTTTGCTTTGTATCAATTGTCCATGGAGCCTAATATTTTGTTCATAGTAGGTCTAGTAAAAATACATTTAACAGAAGAAAAATATACAAACCTTCCAAACTGCAAAGGAAAATTCTTTTTAATTCTGTGGAAAAGCTTCTCTCCTGTGTCAAGTTCAACATAAAAATACGCCGCTCCTGGTTGGGCAATCTAAAGTAAACAGAGTTGTATGAAAACATACAATAATGCTTTACAAATCTAAAATCCTTGCACATCTCCTGTAAGCTTTAATTTGGCAAAGAATTCAGTCTAGAAGCACAGAAGAAATAAAAAATAAAAATAAAAAGATGGAAGTAACTATAGATTCTAAATCACTTACTGGATCCAGATTTTTAAAAGCCAAACTGGCAGTTATTACCAAGATCCTATGCATGGTACTCATCCTCTTAAGTTTCTACCTTATGAAATTTCTAAAATCTTGCTCTTACCAGAAAACACTAGGACTTAGCTGTAATGCCACCTGAATCTCCAGTCTAATCAAAACCCTGTGCTCTAGTTCCAAATTGTCACCTGCCTACTTAACATTTTTGGAATGCCTTGATAGTTCCTCAGATCAACATGTCAAAAACCAGATATTTACTTCTCCCTGAACATCACCTTCCACTCCTGTCTCACCTGTTTGATGTCGGAGTGCTCTGGAATTTCTAACAGCTCTATCTGTTGTTCCTGAGCCTGGGAAATGAAGGCGTCTTTAATGTCATCAGTGGCACAGCAGCTCAGTGGCACAGGAATGACCTGGGGGAGAGGGGAAAGACTGGAGAATTTCTTTGTGCAGGTCCCAGGGAGGATGTGCCTGCACAGCCCCTGAGAAGTAGCAAATCCATCACTGGGGTGGAGGAACACCCCTCAGCACAGATTCTCCTCATGCCAGCAGGCCTATGTTGGCCTGTCTGTAAGGTCTTAAACTTATGAGCTAGCCTGCCACATGTGGAAGCCAGTCTCTGATATGGGAAGGCTAGAGAGAGATCTCTTTCTCATCAAGCCTTTGCCAGCTCCTCTGTAATATATGTGGCAGAGTCAGGCCCATTTGAAAACTTAACAAATGAGCCAGAAAGAAAACCACCACAATGACACATTATCCGTAACAGTGTGCAAATGTCTAAGAGCTGCTAGCCCCGTGAGGCTCTACAACTATTACTTACCTCTAAGCTTTTGCTCATGTTGGGCCTCCACACAAAGTATACACACCCTTCCAAACTCCATCTATCAAGGTCCAAGTCTTCAGAGTCTTCCTCAACTACCATTCCTTTTCCACACAAAGCACTTAGTGTCTGTGCTGTTCACTTGCACTGACCATGTACTTCCCTGTGAAATCTCTGGAGTTATCACCAGACACTCTCTAAATAACTTTTAGTGAATGTTATTTAAATATTAACATGAAATATTTAAATATTAATTAAAGGATGCCCTTTATCACTGCTCTTATTCAACATTGTGCTGGAGGTCCAAGCCAGACAATTAGGCTAGAAAAAGAAATAAATGGCATCTAAACTGGTAAGGAAGAAGTAAAAGTATCTCTGTTTGCAGATGATATGATCTCATACACAGAAAACCCCAAAGAATTCACAAGAAAACTACCAGAACTAACAGAAAATTTCAGCAAAGTATCAGGATACAAGATAAACATACAAAAATCAGTTGGATTCCTCTACACCAACAAAGAGAACTTCAGAGAGGAAATCACCAAATCAATACCATTTACAATAGCCTCCAAGAAGAATAAATCTAACCAGACACATAAAAGACCTATACAAAGAAAACTATAAGACACTACTGCAAGAAACCAAGAGACCTACGTAAGTGGAAAAACATACCTTACTCATGGATAGAAGACTCATTGTGAAAATGTCAATTCTACCCAAAGCGATCTACAGATACAATGCAATCTCGATCCAAATTCCACTGGCATTTTTTGATGAGATGGAGAAACAAATCACCACCTTCATATGGAAAGGGAAGAGGCCCCGGATAAGTAAAGCATTACTCAAGAAAAAGAACAAAGTGGGAGGCCTCATACTACCTGATTTTAGAACCTATTATACTGCCACGGTAGTCCAAACAGCCTGGTAGTGGTACAACAACAGATACATAGACCAATGGAACAGAATTGAGAATTCAGACATAAATTCATCCACCTATGAGCAGCTGATACTTGATAAAGGCCCAAAGTCCATTAATTGGGGAAAAGACAGTCTCTTTAACAAATCATGTTGGCATAACTAGATATCATCGGCAAAAAAACTGAAACAAGACCCATACCTCACACCATGCACAAAAACTAACTCAAAATGGATCAAAGACCTAAACATAAAATTGAAAACAATGAAGATCATGGAAGAAAAAATAGGGACAACACTAAGAGCCCTAATACATGGCAGAAACAGAATACAAACCATTAAGTAACAATGCACAAACAACAGAAGATAAACTAGATAATTGGGAGCTCTTAAAAATCAAACACTTATGCTCATCAAAAGACTTCACTAGATAATTGGGAGCTCTTAAAAATCAAACACTTATGCTCATCAAAAGACTTCACCAAAAAAGTAAAAAGACAACCTACAGACTGGGAAAAAATTTTTGGCTACAACAAATCCGATCAGTGTCTCATCTCTAAAATCTATAAGATACTGCAAAACCTCAACAACAGACAAATAACCCAATTAAAAAATAGGCAAAGGATATGAACAGGCACTTCACCAAAGACATTCAGGTGACTAACAGACACATGAGGAAATGCTCACGATCATTAGCCATTAGAGAAATGCAAATCAAAACTACAATGAGATACCATCTCACCCCAACAAGGCTAGCATTAATCCAAAAAACACAAAATAATAAATGCTGGAGAGGTTGTGGAGAGACTGGAACACTTATACACTGCTAGTGGGAATGTAAAATGGTACAACCACTTTGGAAATCCACTTGGCGCTTCCTTAAAAAGCTAAAAATAGAAGTACCATATGATCCAGTAATCTCACTCCTTGGAATATATACAGAGAAATAAGAGCCGTCCCACGAATAGATATATGATACCCATGTTCACTGTAGCACTGTTCACAACAGCAAAAAGATGGAAACAACCTAGGTGCCCATCCACAGAAGAATGGATAAACGAATTATTGTACATTCACACAGTGGAATACTATGCAATGATAAAGAACAATGATGAATCTGTCAAACATCTCAACATGGATGAATTTTGAAGGCATGCTGCTGAGTGAAATTAGTCACAAAAGGACAAATATTGTACGAGACCACTATTATAAGAACTCAAGAAATGGTTTAAACACAGAAAAAACATTCTTTGATGGTTATGAGGGTGGGGAGGGAGGGAGAGGGGTATTCACTAATTAGATAGTAGATAAGAATTATCTTAGGTGAAGGGAAGGACAGCACACGATAAAGGGGAAGTCAACACAACTGGACTAAACCAAAGCTAAGAAAATTTCCTAAATACAATCAAACACTTCGAGGGACAGAGTAGCAGGGGCAGGGGTCTGGGGACCATGCTTTCAGGGGACATCTAGGTCAACTGGCATAACGAAGTTTATTAAAATGTTTCGCATCCCACTTTGGTGAGTGGCATCTGGGGTCTTAAAAGCTAGCAAGTGGCCATCTAAGATACATCAATTGGTCCCAACCCACCTGGAGCAAAGGAGAATGAAGAACACCAAAGACACAAGGAAAGTATTAGCCCAAGAGACAGAAAGGGCCACATAAACCAGGGATTCCATCAGCCTGAGACCAGAAGAATTAGATGCTGCCCAGCTACCAGCAATGACTGCCCTGACAAGGAACACAACAGAGAGTCCCTGAAGGAGCGGGAGGAAAGGGGGGTGCAGAACTCAAATTCTAGTAAAAAGACCAGACTTAATGGTCTGATTGAGACTGGAGGGACCCCGGAAGACATGGGCCCCAGACTCTCTGTTAGCCCAGAACTGAAACCATTCCTGGAGCCAACTCTTCAGACAAAGAATAGACTGGACTTTGGGACATAAAATGATACTCGGGAAGAGAGTGCTTCTTAGCTCAAGTAGATACATGAGACTAAACAGGCAGCTCCTGTCCAGAGGCGACAGAGAAGGCACAAAGGGACAGGAGCTGCTTGAATGGACACAGAAAATCCAGGGTGGAAAGGAGGAGTGTGCCATCACATTATAGGGAGAGCAGCTAGGTTCACATAGCAATGCATGTATAAATTTTTGTATGAGAAACTGACTTGAACTGTAAACTTTCACTTAAAGAACAATAAAAGAAAAAAAATTAATTAAAATTGAACACTAACATTAACATTATTTAAATAAAATAAATAGCACTTAAATATTATCAATATGAAGGCCCTTATAGAGCCCCTCCAAGTTCGTGGGCAGGGACCACCTACCTGTAGCTGGAGGTGATGGCTCTTATAATTTCTCTCAAAGAGAACACAACGCTTCCCTCGACTCTTAAAGAATTGCCTCAGTGTAGCCTTATACTTCTCCACTTCCTCCACCACCTCTGTTGAAAGCTCCAGCACTGACTGGTAGTGTCCAATGGGCAGGATGAGGACATGGTCATCAGACAAGCCTCCTTTGGCCAGAGCAAGGTAGCACTGAAGAGAAAGCACACAGAACCAAGACGTCAGCACTGCATGTATGATTCTCCAGGAAGAAAAGCCTGTGCAAAGGGTCAGCCTGAGAGTGGAAAACAGGGCTCAGAAGGCCAGCAGTAGAAATTCTGACTTCTAACAATCTGATTTTAGAGGTTATAACAATGTTCTCAGGTATCTGTCCAAGAGTAAGGTTAGATGCAACAAACTGGGATCAAATTGGGATTTAGTGTCAAATAAATTGGGAGTAAATGAATTAGGATAAGAACATAAGCAGACTTTTGGCTTCAAACACACCAGTGCTAGAAGAGGCTGGAACAACAGTTGGATTTTGCTACCAGGCTCCTAAGTTGAAAACAATTTTTCAGTTATTATCACCAGTCACAAAAAGATATCACTTCTGATTTAAAGATGATCACTTTCTGCCTCCCAATAATAGCACCAATCTCCACCCCTCTTGCCAAATATACTCCCTGAGCTCACAAAAAAGACTAAGATGACATGATTAGCATCCTATAGCTTTAAGCTGCTCACTGATCTCTACTAAAGGAAAGAAAACATATAACCTAATGGGGTAGAAGGATGAAGGAGAAACCTCAAACTCAGATACACGCAAAGAGGTAGAGAACTAAGTTTCACAACAATGGATGTCAGCCTTTAATAACAAAAATATTTCTGCCAAAACCAGAACATGCAGGACTGCTCTGCCACTCAGACACGCTTTGAAGGGAAGACACTGTTATGTGCACTCTGAGGCTACTGAGGGTTTCTAGTCAAGACTAAATAGGTCCCCACTACCGTACTTCAGGAGCCCTGGTGGTGCAGTGGTTAAGAGCTATGGCTGCTAACCAAAAGGTCAGCAGTTCGAATCCACCAGCCACTCCTTAGAAACCCTATGGGGCAGCTTCTACTATGCCCTACAGGGTCGCTATGAGTCGGAATCGACTCAATGGCAACGGGTTTGTTTTTTTTTTGTTTACAGTACTTTCAGTTCTTGTGAATAGTTTAATCACACTTGCCCAGCCTCCTCCCTCCCTTTCAGTCACCTTCTAATCTGTCCTATGCTTGGATTATCTTTGTTGTTCATTGCCAGTGAGTCAATTCCGACTCATTATCTCTAACAATATATAACTAGAACCTAAATGAATGTTTCTCCCATAAGTACAATGCCTGGATTTTGCACCAGTTATTTTGGACCCTTAGTAGCCTTTCTCTCATTTTGCCGATTTGTGGCCATAGGCCATCAGCATCATTCCATGTACATCCCTTGAGGATGACATGGCAAAGACAAAGAAAGCAAGGAAAAAAGTAACAAAATGAGATCAAGAGGAATGGGTGCAGGGAGGGACTCCCAAATCTTTTGCCAGACACCAAAAGGCACCACAGTTCCCCAAAAGGTTTCTACTAAAAAAAAAGACCTGTTAAAAAAAAACCCGTTGCCCTCGAGTTGATTCTGACTCACGGTGACCCTGTAGGACAGAGCAGAATTGCCCCATAGGGTTTCCAAGGAGTGGCTGGTGGATTTGAACTGCCAAACTTTTGGTTAGCAGCTGAGCTCTTAATCACTGTGCCACCAGGGCTCCAAACAAAGCACAGTTCAGGTAAATGTAGACTTGATTACCAGGTAGGCTCTGAGCTACAATCCTCAGGTGGCTTCCTACTTGTGGTGCTGGGCTGGGCCACAAATAAGACCTAAGATGCCTTCTGCCCCTGTAGTTCAGGCCTAGATGAGAAGCAAACAGAGTGGTTTCCTTGATCTTCCCTTACACCCAAACCCTGAGCTGGATACCCTGGATTAGATAAAAGAGAATGGAAAGAAAAGGTCATTCATCCCTGAGGGCTAAAGCAGAACTGAGCTAAGTCACCTGCTCTAAATCTCTTCTCCCTTATGTGGGATCTAGACCTGCTGGGACTTCCCAAATGGAAGGCAGGCCAAAGCCTACCATAGTATACAAGTTGTGTGGGAGAGAAGAATGGCACAAACTAACCCAAGGAAGTAAAAAAGGTCTAAAAGAGATAATCTAGAAAAGGCATTCCTGTAAAAGCAAGAGCTTTCACATTTGCTTTTCTTCTCATTGAAGTCCATCCACAGGCTCCATGGCCCAATTGCGTCATGGGCCTTGACACCATTACTGCTCTCCCTAGAGATAGGAGTATTTTAATAAGCAGAACATAAAAAAATAAATGTAAAAGATGGACTCTTCAGTATGAAACAAAGGAAGGAGAGGGATGTGACTTAAAGTGTAAAATGAAATTGAAACTCTAGTCAGTCTATAGGAGGTCACAATAAAGGGCCCTCAGATTGTTAGGCTAAATTGAGAAAAAGATCATTCTCAGAAACCAAAATTAGAAAAAATCAATGAAAAATGGATGAGAGCATCTGTCTGCAGAAGAACTACGTGCTAAGAAATGGTTTGTAAGTATTTCCCTCAGGAGCCTTGGACAAAATATCCAATTCTAGTCACAGGTGATTAGGGCACAACTTTAAGCCTGGAAATTAAGCTTTCTTCATTCTAAGTGAATAAACGAGGATAATGGTCTACATAGAGCTCAGACATATGAGCATTAAAGAACAGTATTATTTAATGTTTAATTGAACCCTACCCAAGGAAAGGAAACACTGGTGGCGTAGTAGTTAAGAGCTATGGCTACTAACCAAAACACTGACAGTTCGAACCCACCAGGCGCTCCTTAGAAACCCTATGGGGCAGTTCTTCTCTGTCATATCGGGTCACTATGAGTTGGCATTGACTCGACGGCAATGGGTTACCCAAGGCAAAGTATCTGGAGAAGTCTGAAATAGACTGGCTTTACTACGAGACACACATAGTCCATCAAGGTTTTCCAGAGCCTGAATAAAATCCTCCTCAAAGTCATCCAGCTCCTTTAATCTGATTCAGCGCTTACAAAAGTAACACTATAGTTATTATCTTGGTACCCACACCAAAAAGCAGATATTGGTATTCCTGACACTACAAAGCTACATCCTCTACTACTAGGCAAAACTGAAAATTTACTACTTTAGTCTTTCATATGATTGGTTAGTGTGAATCAGTCCCCAAATAGATAATTCTAAATGAAAATTAATAAGCTCAATTTTCTGAATCTGTAGCTAAAAGAGAATATCAACATTTAAAACCCAATCTGGATATATAAGCAACAGAGAGCTTCCCTTTTAGGACAAAGAAAATCCTTGTTTTAAACAGTTAGTAATTAACAAATGACTCATTACTCCCAAGTAGTATGAACTAAAAATACAGAAAGTTCAAGAAGTATATAAAAAGCCTTTCAGCCAAAGATTAGATAGGCCCATAAAACAAAATGACAGTAAATGGGCACACCAGCTCAGGGGCAAGGACGAGAAGGCAGGAGGGGACAGGGAAGCTGATAATGGGGAACCCAAGGCTGAGAAGGGGAGAGTGTTGACATGTCATGGGGTTGGCAACCAATGTCACAAAACAGTATGTGTATTAATTGTTTAATGAGAAACTAATTTGCTCAGTAAACTTTCATCTAAAGTACAATCAGTCAATCAATAAAAGAAGTATATAAAAGTATCATCCTAGGAGATCCACACCATTTGTAAAAAGAGGGAGGAGAGGAGGAAAAGATCTTATAAGACTAGCTCTACAAAACCACAGAAGAATGGCTATAATCAAAAAGATGACAATAACAAGTGTTATCAATGATGCGGAAAAACAGGAGCCTTTATACACTGCTAGTGAAGCCACTTTGGAAAAGAGTTTGACAGATTAAGAAATTAAACATAAATTTACCATATGTGATGGTTAAGATGGTGTGTCAACTTGGCTGGGCCATGATTCTCCGTGTTTTAAAGTAATCACTCCCATGATTGAATATACTGTGAATAGCCAATCAGATGAAAGGGAGTCTCCTTGGGGGTGTGGCCCACATCTGTATATAAGCAGACGTTCTGGCTTTTTGCTCTCTCTGGATCCTGTGGCTGCTTCCTGTCATCTCATCTCCCGTTCTTGGGACTTGAGATGTCAGCTTATATGCCGAACTGGGATTCGTCGATTTGCACAGCCTGTGAGTGGGAGCCCTGCTCTCTGACCAACCGATCTTGGGCTTGCCAGCTTCTGCAGCTGTGTGACTTGGGAGAGGCCTCTACCCTGATCCACGGACTTGGGACATTCTAGCCTCTACAATAACATGAGCTGTTTCCTTGATATAATCTCTCTCTATATATATATTTATACACTTTACTGGTTTTGCTTCTCTAGAGAACCCAGCCTAAGACACCATATAACCCAGCAATCCCTAGGTATATGCCCAAGAGAAATGAAAACACGTCCACACAAAGATTTGCATGTGAAACTTCACAGCAGCATTATTTGTAATAGCCAAAAAATAGAGACAACCTAAACGTCCATCAACTGTGGTACACACACAAAATGTGGTGTATCCATACAACGGAATACTATTTGGCAATAAAAAGGAATAAAATGCTGATACGTGCTACAACATGGATGAACCTCAACAATATTAGGCTAAGTAAAAGAAGCCAGACACAAAAGACCATGTACTGTATGATTCCATTTACACGTAATGTCCAGAAAAGGCAAACTATGGAGACAGAAAGTACATTAGTGGCTGCCTGGGACTGGGGATAGGGATTAAATGGAAATGGGCATGAGGGATTTTATTGGAGTGACGGAAATGCTGTAAAACCATTATGGTGGATGGTTACGAAAGTTGGTGTATTTACTAAAAACCATTGAACTGTATACTTAAAATGAGTAAATTTTATGATATGTACATTATGCCTCCATATGCTGAGCAAATAATCTGACAAACTGGACTGTATGAAGAAGAATGCAGAATCAGGATTGGAGGAAGACTCATTAACAACCTGCGATAAGCAGATGACACAGCCTTGCTTGCTGAAATCAAAGAGGACTTAAAGCATTTACTTGAAGATGATCAAAGACTACCACCTTCAATATGGATTACACCTCGACATAAAGGAAACAAAAATCCTCACAAATGGACCAATAAGCAACATCATGATAAACAGAGAAAAGCCTGAAGTTGTCAAGGATTTCATTTTACTTGGATCCACAATATACCCTCATGGAAGCAGCAGTCAAGAAATTAAACAACTGAGAAACCCCGAGAGTATGGCCCCCATACACCCTTTTAGCTCAGTGGTGAAGTCATTTCCAAGGTTCACCATTCAGCCGGGGAGTAGACAGCCCCATAAAACGAAATGGGACTCATGAGGCACAGCAGTCCAGGGACAAGGGCCAGAAGGCAGAAGGGGACAGGAAACCTTGTGATAGGGAACCCAAGGTTGAGTAAGGAGAGTGTTGATGTGTTGTGAGGTTGTTAACCATTGTCATAGGGCAACATGTATACTAACTGTTAAATGAGAAACTATTTTGTTCTATAAGCCTTCATCTAAAGTGAGAATAGCAGCACAATTGGAAGAGCGTAGTCGATGTCACTGAACTGTGCATGTAGAAATTTTTGAAATGGTGTATCTTTGGCTATGTATATTTTCACCAAAAAAAAAAAAAAAGGTCGAGAAGGGAGAGGGTTGACATGTTGTGGGGTTGTTAACCAATGTCATAAAACAATATGTGTAAAAAAAAAAAGAAAGAAAGAAATTAAACAACGCACTGCATTGGGCAAATCTACTGCAAAAGACCTCTATAAAGTGTTAAAAAGCAAAGATATCACTTAAGGACTAAGGTGCACCTAACCCAAGCCTCATATGCATGTGAAAGCTAGACAATGAATAAGGAAGACTGAAGAAGAATTGATGCCTTTGAATTGTGGTGTTGGTGAAGAATAACGAATATACCATTGACTGTCAGAAGAAAGAACAAGTCTGTCTTAGAAGTACAGCCAGAATGCTCTTTGGAAGGGAGGATGGTGAGACTTTGTCTTATGTACTCTGGACATGTTATCAGGAGGGACCAGTCCCTGAAGAAGGACATCATGCTTGGTAAAAGAAGAAAAGAAGCAGACCCTCAATGAGATGAACTGATACAGTGGCTATAACAGTGGGCTCAACCATAGCAACGACTGTGAGGATTGCACAGGACCGGGCAGTGTTTTGTTCTGTTTTACACAGGGTTGCTATGAGTCAGAACCGACGCAACCGCACCTAACAACAACAACATTATCCTTCAATAAAATAAAATAAATAAAACAAAACAAAACAAAAACCCCACAGATGTCTCCTTCTCTGAAAAAGGTCCATGAAAGTAACTCACATGTGTGCCAACACTGACCACCAAATGCTTTTCTACTTCAGGGCTGGCCAGACAAAACCAGCAGGATCCTGGAGGCTGAGCTGCATGTGGAAGGAAGACAAATGTTACTACGGTCCACACACTACCACACAAAATCATCCTAGACAACTCAACCTTGTCTGGTCTTTACATCCTGCAAAGACTGGTATACTGCACTGCCACAATGGCTGGGCCTGTTGTGCTCTCCACTATGACACCTCCACAATACCACCATTATCAATAAAACTAAATGTCCATTAGAAAAGTTCTGAATGTGTACCCAATCCACAGGTAGGCTATCCCCAAGTGGATAACCACATATTGACTAAGTAGCATGAAACTGGTGGCATGATGCAGTGAAAGAACACTGAACTGGATGTCAAGAGCGCCAATTCTAGTCCCAGCTATGCTACTAGCTATCTACATGACGCTGGGTAATAAATACAACCTCCCACAGTCAGCTTCTTTATCTCTAAAACTAGAAGGTAGGGAGAAATGATCTAATAACTCATTGTACAATTTTATTCTGCCCGAAGAGTCTCCCTCAGCAATGCCGCTTCCCAAACAAGACCCAAAATAACAGTTATCGCTCACACAGGAGATCTCTGGAACCAAGGTACTCACGAGGTTTGCAAGGCTGCTTTGGGTGAGGAGAGGATTTGCCATGTCTGCCTGTGGATGAACGCTTCCTTCCCTGCTTTTCATTTAAGTCAAAGAAGAATTGACAGGCTGATTCTTCCTGGAATGGCCAAAAGGTAGAAGAGTAAATATTATTCAGCTCACCTTTAGACAAGTAGTCAGACATTCACATACAAGGGAACATTCCTGCCGCATCATGTCTATTTTTCCTCCCAGTCCTTTCTGCCTCTTTTAAGGAAGAAAAATATCTTTCCAATCCTGATGCCTAGACTCTCAGCCATACTTCTCAATACTTATCCAAGATACCACCAAATTCATCTCTTTGGAAAAGTAAGTTAAAATACAAGTTACAGAGCGATTCTTGCCCAAAATAGGACAATATGAACCCACGCAAATTCCTGTTCCTTTCTCCCTCAATAGGACCACAGTGAATCCTACAAATTTACAGGTCAAACAAGTCCAGTTTAGCTTTAATAAAAAAGATGACAAGGCTGCTTACAAAGAAAGAAAAATGTGAGAAATCAGACCATACATGCTATCAAGGAAACTTGATATCCCTTGCTTTAGTGAGGGAATAATTAATTCCAGAAGTCTGCTATTAAGAACATTTCTTCAGAGTGCATCTTATTTAACTACTAGCATTCATCATAAACTCACAAATTACACTGCCAAGTATTTGGATCCTTGTCTGAACAGCTAAGAATAGCTAATGAAGTTTACACGAAGAAAGAACTAACGTATGACATTCTTAATCCCAACATAAAATCAAGTGTAGACAAGGAAAGACTTAACATAAGAAACCATTAACCCTAAACAACAATTAAAAAAACCCTGAGCTTATTTGAAATCTTCTGAAGCTTTCTTACCACCACCATGATTTCCCAAGGGGAAAAAGAAAGGTTTATATTGTAAGTACTAAACTTGTTTCATGTACTAAACCACAAGGAAAGAAAGTCTCCACCAGGAAAAGTACACGTGTAACGAATGGGCAATCCCGCCCCGAAAACACCCCCTCTCCATCAGAACATACCTCAGGGGCAGGAGTTTGCTTTCCTATGGTTGTGTCCTTCCCAGATTTTCGGTACGGGTTTTCAGTGACATCTGGAGGCTGTTTTACCAGTTCTGCTGCATCCATCAGTTTCATGGGAATAATACTGAATGCATAAAGATACTTCGGAGGAAGAAAAAAGAGAATAATCTTAAGGGAAATGCTGTTTATTTATCTAAGTGTAATCATTCTATTTTGTTGTGAAGATTCCATAGTAAGCTTCAGAAACTGAGTAAATTTAAAAGCAGCAACCCGCTCATCTGTCGTTCAGAGAATACACAGGAAGTCAAACGCCAATTCAGTGACTGACCAATGCAGGGGCTGACAAGGGCTGACAAAGTAACAAGCAACAAATCAAATCCCCAGCCCTCACACAAGTCAGGAGTCCTCACTCAGATGGGCGAATCATGACAACCATGATTACAAGCCCCAGAGCAACTTGCTTCTGTCTCTGAGTCCTTTATATACTTTTTATCAGTAGAATCACAGCACTGCCATTGTTTTTTCTTAATGGAAACTACAAAACTGGACACCTTAGAATTTCCCTCTCTGATACGATACAAATTTTGCTGTACATTCTGATAAATTTTCCTAGGGACTAGTAGCAAAAAAGTAAATATTCATATAAATATCTAGAATCTTAGACTAGTGAAACAAAACTGGAAAAGCTTAGATGAGATATGAATAGATGCTCCACCTCAGTACTCAGCAGGTAAATGCAATCCAAGTAACAATGATACACCATTTTTTCATCTATCAGACTGGCAAAACCTTAACAAACATTTGACACTACCTGGTGAGAATCCCCAGATACCGCTGGTGGGGGGTGTAAATTGAAACAAAATTTGCAGGTGAATTTAGTAATGCTGGCCAAATTTAAAAACATGCACACCCTTTGAAGTATGAGTTGTTTATGGCTGAGGCCAGCATGTCCCTGATGGTAGGCAGTAAACTGAAAACACCGTGAATGCTATTCAGTCTTGAAACGGCTGTAAAAAAAAGTATAAATCTAAAACTTGCTAAGAATGAATTGGGCTTAAAAGTTTAAAATGTTATGGAAATAAATATGTATTTGGTTATCTTTTTATGCATAATGTTTATGACATGTTACAGTGGAATAATATTTAGATTATTTACTATTTTTCCATTTGACTGATCGCTTTGATCTTAGCTATCTCAATCCACAGTACCCTGCTTTTGGCCCTAAGGAATTACAGATTCTCTCAGGGATGTGCGAAAGATAACCTACTTTTCTGGTATTGTCTTTCATTCACCTGCACTGCTTTCCAATAGAAAGACAGACTCCGGGTATCAGTAAGATTTCCCAGAGCCAAGGAGGGCTTAGATAAATCCTTGGGAGGATTTTATTATTTCTGCTAAATGAAGTTGCCAAAAGAAGCAAAGCAAGAGTAACATCTGAGGGCAAACTCATGAATACCCGTACAGAGAGCCACAGGGATACGGGAACAAATGAACAGTGTTCATTTGAAATTTTGCCTTTGTACCACTAGGTCTGTTTCTCCAAACCCTTCTCTAAAATCTCCTAAGAAGAACTCAAGGAAACCTGACCTTTCGTTATCATATCTTTTCAAAGGAGTCACTAAGTACCTTGCCGTTGGGGAGAAAAATAGATCTGAATGCTGAACTGGGGAAGAGGAGTATTTATCAGGGACAGAAGGAGTATTAACCTACCAGCAAATCAGCAAATCTTTACCTTTTTCTTGTCTGGGTTTCCAACGTTTGCCAGAGCTATAAACCGGGTGGCATGCTGTGCATTTTCCTGTAGAACAATGTGGTTTCTAAAACATTTGAGAGAGAACAGGTTACCAACAAACTTCACATTTGAGTTGCATTTATGAAATTGAAGTAGATTCCATGGGGCCACAAAAAGAGCACAGGATCGGAGTCCATCACTGCAAGTAATGTAACCTCAGATAAATCACTTATTCGCCCAGTAGGATAATAATCTACCTCACGGGGCTGTTGTTAGGAAGAAATGAGATCATGTACAGTGAAACCTGTGAGAGCTGGAACTTGACGCAACTGCCTTTTTTCAGGTCTCGCAGGTTTTCCGCCTTTGACAGAGTGTAGTCTTACCACTTTTCTATCGCTCTCTATTAGTGGGAAATAACCTTCCCTGACAGGTTTCCACCTTACACAGGTTCCAGCTTTCATAGGTTTTACTATTTTTTTTTTTTTTTTTTAAGAAATTAAAAAAAAATTTATTGTGTTTTAGGGGAACATTTACAGTGCAAATTAGTTTTTCTTTCAAAAATTTTATATACAAATTGTTTTATGACATTATTCGCAATCCCTGCAACGGGTCAGCACTCCCCCCTTTCCCTTTCCACCTTAGGTTCTCAGCGTCCATTCATCCAGTTTTCCTGTCCGTTCCTGCCTTCTCGTCTTTGCTTTTGGGCAGGTGTTGCCCATCTGATCTTGTATGCTTGATTAAACTAAGAAGCACATTCCTCACGTGTGTTGCTTGTTTTATAGGCCTGTCTAATCTTTGGCTGAAAGGTGGACTTCGGGAGTAGCTTCAGTTCTGAGTTAGCAGGGTGTCAGGGAGCCAGAGTCTCAGGGGTTCCTCCATTTATCCCTGTTATAGCATGTATCAGTATTTCATTCCTTTTTCATGCCCAATAATATCCCATTGTATGAAATGCTACTCACCGATATGGAAGTCTCTCATAATAGGTCTTTTCCAAAGCAGCAAAATGATATCTTGGTTTCAAGACTACCGCAAGACTGGAAACCAAAGCAGAGCCACATTTTTTGGTATCCACTTCTCCCTATTAAATAGAAACTCAGTCATCCATAACAGACCTACTAGTTATCAAGAAATATCAAAACACTTTGAAATGTCTTTGGAATTTATATGTGGATACAAATGTGGGCAATGTGATTTGGACAGTGATTTTCAAACTTTTGGCAATCAGAGAAATCTCAAACACAAAAGGGGAACTGGGGTAATACAGAAAAAGAAACAATTTGTTGGAAGACAGAGGCTAAAGGGTAAGGTAATTCCTCCATACTAGTACCCAAAAAATGGTTTATTAAAACCTTTTTTGTGAAGTAAGCCCTCCGTGGAACCCACAGACTGTGCTTCTAGAATTTGCTTTGTAGCATACTTATAGTTCTAACAATGCCGATAGTCATAGTCAATGCAGAAAATAAAAACGAAAAACTAGCCATCAGAGCCCCTAGGATTATAAAGAATATTTGGTATGGAATATTCAAGGACCTAATCACATAAGCATGTAATTCTTTATTTTGCTTCAGTTAAGGAAGGTATGGTTTGTAGAAGGGCACAACTGCCCACTGTAACATAAAGCTTGTCAAAAGTTAGGCTTGTTATGGATGTTCTCATCTGTAACATTGTTTATAACTCTATTTTAAGAAAAGGTATTAGCTGAAAACAAAGAAATTACCAAAGTTTATTTTCTATTAAGTAGAGCAGGACCTTCCTTTTGTCTTATGCTTGCCTCCTTCAGATTTCCGCTGAAGGGCAAAGAATTGGCCTTCAGGTTAGTTACAGTATCTTAGGAACTGGTGAATTATTCTGTTTTCTCCCCATGAAGATCTTTTATGATTATTTATAAGCTTTAACCAAAACCCTGTTTTAGCCCTTCCCCCCACTCCAATAAAAGAGTCTCATTTTTCTCATCCTTCCTTACAGAGAATCACATGTACTCTTTCTCTCTTTCATCATCACTTCAGTAGCCCTTCTCTGGATCTTCCCTAGTTTGGCAGTATCTTCTCTGTACCACAGCCAGCACTGCCCCTTGTATTTATTCCAGGTGAATAATAATCATGGGCTTGTGGAAGGGGAAGATAGCATTGCCCCTTTTGCTTTCAATATCCTCCCTGACAATGCCAGGTATCTTGCTGGCCTTTTTGGTCATAGACACATTGTGCTGAAGCTGGCAGGGAGTGATCTATAGGCTCCTTTGCTGCATCATCACTGATGACTCTGAATCCATTAATTGAGATTTATTGTACCTAAATGCATTCTTACATTTCCCTTCATTGAGGGGCTTTCTGCCCTAACATATACTTTCACGATCTTCCTTAGACTTACTTCCATCAATGTAGTATTTCACTCCCCATGATAGGTGTCACCTACCAACATCGGGTACACCCTCTTCTAGATTACTTATAAAAACAATAAGATCAAACACAATAATGAGTTCCAATGCATCCCAACATTAAAGCTTTCCCATAGAGAAGCACCAAGCTTTCAACACCTTGTTTCCCGTGTTTAGATCAATCTCCTCAATCCCATAATGACTCAATTTTATAACCTATTTTGATAGCCAAAAAGCTATCATCTGGAAGAGGGAAAATACAACTGCAGAGCTGCCACTAGCTGTGAATCTTTTTACTGAAAGCTAGTGAACCCTCAAAATATATTCTTAGGAGGCTTGAGAGAAGGCACTTGAAGCAGAGAATATAATTTAAAGACCCATTCATTCGTAATTAAGATTTCAGCAATCTCATCTGTGGATCATGCTTTCTTAAGATTGACTTTTGTTTTGGTCAGTTAATATAGCTTTTAGTATCTTGAAAAAACTCACAAAAGATTTCTACTGAAAGGTACCAAGAGCTAAAATATTCAATATGGGGGTGGGGGGAGGGGAGGAGCCCAAATTAAACCAATGCACTTTACTTTTAGAAATTCCAACTAAATAAGCACTACTCACAGAAGAATTCCCAAAGTTCCCCACATCCTTGGGCCACGGGGATGTGAGCAAGATATCAACGCCCTTAAACTGGGATGCTGAGCACAGCATTGTTCTCAGGGAAGACACATCGTTGGGACTAAAACTGTAACCTGGGACCAGCTCATTTAAGGACTCTGTCCCACTGAGGTACACAATCTGCAGCCCCGAGGTTCCAGTGAAGACACCTTTACGACCTGTGTTAAAAGGAAAATTGCTAAGTTTTAGTCAAAACAGCAGGAAAAAAATGTCATTATGGTGCTGAATCCCTCTCTCCTTGCCACGACTCTCCTACCTCCCTGCCAGTCTACACTCCTGAATGAGGGTAAACTCTCCTGTAGCCCCACTTCTGGCTGCTAACATCAACTGGACAGCCACAACAGTATTCCTGTTTAGTCAGTAAGAGAAGCACTTCCCAACTGGCATGCCATTACAGGTAGGTCAAGGCCTCTGGAGCCCGCACACCAGTCTGTTTACCCCAGGAGCCTTCAAAAATTATTGAATAGTGGAAACTCTACATGGACTAAAACAAACCCAGACACCTGGACAGAGGAAGATGCAATGAGGAAAAGAAAAGGTAGTTGCAGTTCTGAGGACACTATAACCCAGAAAAGATGTACTCTCAGACAGGGAGCAACTTCCTAGTGAATGGAAACATTTGGAAAGAGCAGTTGTTGGGGAGAAATTAGATTCTACTCTCTTCCAAAGTTATCTCCTTGATTCTGTTCCTTCCTGTTCCCTCTAAGTCTTTGCTCCATCAATTCTCATCTCTTATCTACTGAGTCTTTTCTCTACTGACTCTTTCCTTTGCTGTAAATGAAACTGCAGAAAATGAAGTAAGCTCAGGCCTCCCCATCCAAAATGAACACACACAACACACATACTAACAAAGGAACTTCGTCTTGTTTATTTTCCAACTTTCAAAAAAGTAGTCTGCATTCTCAAAGTGCTTTATCTCTTAATTAACCCACTTCCTTAACGCACTGAAATCTCTCTTCCTCTCTCATCACTCTCTTGAAGGTCACCGATTATCCCATAACTGCCAATGGTCCCCTCTCCTAAAACAATGCTCTCTTCCCTTAGATTCTGTGACCTTGACAATATCTTGACCTCTCCAACACTCTTCTAATCACCTTCACCTTTCTTTGCCTACCCCCCAGATGAAGATGTACCCCAAGGTACTATCATTTACCCGCTTCCCTTCCATTTCTTCCTTAATAATTTCATCCTCTCCTCAGCTTTACTTTTCATCCTTATGGGACCAACTCCCCAAAACCTATACTCTGTAACACTAATCTTGTTTATATACTCTAGAAAGAACTATCACTTCCAACTATACATTAGATATTCTGTCAGCACTTCACCCTCAACATGTTCACTATCAAGCTCACTGCTTGCCCTCCTGTTGGATCTCAAAAAGCCTATTTCACAAAAATAACCCAGGTACCCAGGCTGCTTTTTCTATTCCTGGCACTAAATTCATATGGCAAAATGGTTGCCAAATATCTACAGTAGTGCTCTTAATCCTAATCTAGTAACTAGACTGATAATTGCCATAAGTCAGGCTTGTGTTAAGATCTACAACAAATTTTGATCAGAGATTCTACAGAAGAGTCCTGATTAAAAGGGGGAAAATACAGAACACAATTTCAAATTCTTATGGACTCCAGACTTTCTGGAGCCATGGAGGCTAAATGAACCTCTGAAACTATTGCCCTGAGATAATCTTTAAAACTTACACCAAAAATATCCCCTAAAGTCTTCTTAGAATCAAACAACAGTTGTAGCATAAGTAGTAAAAAGAGAGGGTTGACTGTTGTGAGGTTGTTAAACAATGTCATAAAACAATATGTGTACTACTGTTTTCATGATAAACTATTTGTTCTGTAAGCCTTCACCTGAAGTACAGGAAAAAAAAAAAAAAAAGTCTGTCTTGAGCATTATGCTCTTTTAAGAGCTATCTCTATGGGATTAAAGTGACAACAGCAACTCATAAGATTAGATAAGAACCTTAGCGGACAGTGTGTTTATGTTAATGGAGGAGGAACAACTCAGAAAAGGAGGGTGAGAATAGCTGCACAACTCGAAGAATGTAATCAGTGTCAATGAATTGTACATGTAGAAACAGTTGAATTGGTGTATGTTTTGCTGTGTATATTCTCAACATCAAAATTTTTTTTTAATTTAAAAAAAAAAAAAAATCTACAACCAAAGGATTTCAAATGTACATCTCATAACTGGTTAAAAAAAGCAAACAAAAATCCCTCCCTCAATTTTCTGTTTAAAGGAGCCCCAAATGACTGAAGCAAGATGAGACTGATTACATGAACACCAAAGCCAGATGTAGAGAATAAAGGCCGAAACAGAATACTGCAGGAGGAGGGAGGCATTTACAGCAAAGGAAATGCAGAAGCTTTCTAGAGAAATGAGAGACCAGCAAAGAGGAAATGTGAAGAGCAGTGGAGCCATTTTAGAAAAAATGAGTTGAATGATCCAGGAGGCAGCAGAACTGACAGCAGGTAGAGGAAAAACAGAAGCAAAATTTGACAGTGGTTTTTAGAACAGTCAGACATTAAAAGAACCACTAAGAGATTCAGAGGGTGGTGGAGGGAACAACTTTAAACTGGAATTGAAGAGTGGACCTTGAACCAGAAAAAGGACAAAGGGAGTAAAAAGAAAAAAAAAAACCTCAAGGATCAGCACTAAAACTTGAGTTGCCAAAACCTTACAGTGAGAACTAGAGCTACAGCTAGTTAGGAGTCTAACAAGTAAGCTGTGTATGTCTAGCAAGGTTATATATACATGGAATTTCCTTTATTTGAACATAATTTATACTCTAAGTACTCTAGATACTATAGTCAAGGTGTTTATCACTCTAGTTGCTGAAAGGGTATACGATGGGTTATGGGGACTCAAGATTTGGAGGAGGTAGGGAAGACAAGAAAGGAAAAATGTCATAGTCCTAAGGGCACAGACACAGACTTTGGAAAAGAACCCACTTACCCCCATTTTCTCAGGCAGTAGTGCATTAATGGCTGTACTGTTCATTACAAGCACAAAAAAATATCAACTTACCCAGATAAGTAATGTTTTCAGCTAATTCACACCCATCAGCATCTTGGAAATATTCTACTGTTTCCTTGCTATTTGCACCCAGCACATATGTCTGAATAGGAGCTAGTGAGGGAAAGAGACACAACACCACATAGTTACCAGATCTGCTTTGGAACTTGAGAAATGCTTCCCCATAGACTCATAGCAAAAGTAGAGAACCTGTACATTCCCCCTCATAGCAATCCTATATGTAGAACATGCTCACTGCTTTAGGATATCCTACACCCAGCCTTGTGGTCTGACCATTAAACAGTATCACCAAGCCAATAAAGTGACATATTAAAGAGAGTGGTCAATGTATAATTAAGAAAACAGAGACCCTAAATAAAAAACACTAGAACTGGAAAAAGGAAAGAACATATATGGTTACATTTATTCAGTTTCTGCCTACTTAGAAGAGTATTCTTTTCTGGAGCTAAATCCAACCAAATTCAAAATGTGAACATTTGGATTATACACAGGTATTCTACCCAGCTCAATGCAGAGCTCAAAGAGGAATTTACATTACTAACATATGTAGTGAAAATAATCCAGAAACAAGTGTAGCCCTTGAAACTTTGTTAGAAATCATATATTAAATAAAAATAATTTCTATACCTTTCTTGATGCCAGTCTTATATTCCTCCCATTCAGCACTTGGAGTGGACCCAAAGAAATTTCCTACACACAACAGCAGCTAAAATGAGTTTTTTAAACAGATATATGAGATTTTTAAATTCAAACAGCATATAACTGATAGTAACATTTACCTAATTATCTCACTCTATGGTCTCAAACCAGGTTTTTATTCTTAATCAATTTGCAGAATTTCAATACACAATGTTTTAGCAGCAATTGTAGTAGTTACTCTGATTCTATAAATTACTAAATCTTGCCCACTGGTTGTCAAATTCAAGTTTGGGATGGGTGGAGAGGGTAAGGGAAGTGAGTTATCAAAAGAAGCTAGTATTTGAGTGGTCCTCAAATATTCCTGGTCCCACTCTGCCACTTCATGGCTTTCTCCATCATCCTTCTCCTTCCTTGAAGCATATAGTGATGGGGAGCTAGACCTTTAAAGAATCCCTCTGTGAAATACAAAACTAAAATATTAGGTACCGTTAGGGATAACCAAAAAACCAAATCCACTGCTGCTGAGTCGATTCCAACTCATAGCAACTCTATAGGACAGAGTAGAACTGCTGCATAGGGTTTCCAAGACTATAATCTTCACGGAAGCACATTGTCACATCTTTCTCCGTTGGAGCGGCTGATGGGTTTGAACCACTGGCCTTTCAGTTAGCAGCCAAGCACTTAACCAGTGTGCCACCGGGGCTCCTTACATTTCCTGCCTCTTCTCTTTACTCAATCTTTAACCTAGCGAAGAAATCATACCCATATCTAGAACACTCTTTTGTTCTCTAAGGAGTTTATAATCTAGTTGACAACCACATATAACATTTATATAGACCGCTTTAGTCCTTGGGTGGTGCAAACAAGGAACATGCCTGGCTGCTAACCAAAGGCTGGCAGATCAAGTCCACCCAGAAGCACCTTGGAAGAAAGCCTGGCGATCTACTTCCAAAAAATCAGCCATTGAAAACTCTATGGAGCAGTTCTACTATGACACACATGGGGTCGCCATGAGTTGGAATCAACTAGACAGCAACTGCGTAGTTGGTAAAGCATTTGCACATATGTTATCTGACTTAATCCACTCCATACACTCCCGAAATAGATGTGTGCTTCCAAAATCCAGCTGGTTAGAATCACCTAGGAAGGTTTTGCTAGTCTGTTTTTAGTTTTTTAAACAATAACAAAGCAACAAGATCCAAATTCAAAAAGTACAAGAAGGTCTACAGTAAATAGGTCTCCCACTCCCCAGCATTTCCAGCTATCCCAGCTGACAAAAGGAACTCAATCTAACAAAAAAGGAAAAAGTATGTGTTCAATCAAGAAGTCAATAAAGGAGCCCAAACTTTTAGTATGTTTGACTACAATACCAAAAACCAAATAGTATGTTTGACTACAATACCAAAAACCAAACCCACTGCCATCGAGTTGATTCCAACTCATAGTGACCCCATAGGGCTTCCAAGGCTGTAAATCTCTACGGAAGCAGACTGCACATCTTTCTCCTGCAGAGATGCTAGTAGTTTCAAACTGCCGACCTTTCAGTTAGCAGTCGAGCGATTTAACTACTGGGCCACCAGGGCTCCTGTGACTAAATAGTAAAATTAAATTCAATAAAAAGAAACATCTTACATCAAAGTTTCCACTTTTCTTCTGAATTGCTCGAACTCTATTGAATAAAACATCAAACTTTCCTTCAACATCTCCACAAGCCAAGCTGCAAACAAGAAATTCAACAGATAAACATTAAGGCAAGTTAGGAAACGCAAACCAACCTGCCAAGTTTCATATATACTTGTCTTCCTGGATCAGGTAGATATGTGATCCAGTCTCTCTGGGGTTACCTGGGAGTGCAGTGCATGTAAACTATTACTGACTCCTGGGCAGCTCCACCTGAAGTTCTCACCAACCCCTCCAACTCATCATATCTAAAATTTAGCTTAGCATTTCCTCCAAAATGAAGCCAACCCCTTCTCACTTCCCAAGTTTTATGGATGAATCTTTTGCTAACTTGGTCACCAAGAGTCAAAAATCCCCTATCTTGTCACCAAGTCCCATCAATCCCTTTTCCCAAACATCTTTCATATTCATTCCATCCTTTTTATTTCCATTGCCACGATCTTAGAACAGGACTTCAGTCATCCATTCAGCAAACATGTACTGGACATCTACAATATGCTAACTACAATATGCCATGTACTACGCTAAGAATGGGAGTCCCTGGGGGATGCAAATGATTAAGCACTCGACTACTAGCTGAAAGGTTGGTGGTTCAAACCCACCCAAAGGCACCTCAGAATACACACCTGGCGATCTGCTTCTGAAAGGTCACAGCCTTTAAAACGCTATGGAGCAGTTCTACTCTGCACACATGGGGTCACCATGAATCTGAATTGACTTGATGGCAACCAACAACAAAACGCTAAGAATATACTAGAATGTAGGTGTTGCTTACATATCATTATAGACAATAGAGCACACAAGGACCACAGTCAGGGTAACTTCTTAGACATAACCAAACACATCACAGGACAAAGTTCCTAGGCTCAAAGGCAAAGGACCACAGACTCGGGGGACATCTACATCAACTGGCACAACATAATTCATAAAGACAAAGTTCTGCATCCTACTTTGGTAAGTAGCGTCTGGGATCTTAAAAGCTTGGAAGTGGCCATCTAAGACACAACTATTGGTCTCTTCCCGTCTGGAGCAAAGGAGAGTGAAGAAAACCAAAGACTCCAGGGAACAATTAGTCCAAAGGACTAATGGACCACATGAACCACAATCTACATGACCCCAAGACCAGAAGAACTAGATGGTGCCCAGCTACCACTACCAACCACTCTGACTGGGATCACAAGAGAGGGTTCCGGACAGAGTAGGAGGAAAATTGTGGAAGAAAAAATCAAATTTACAAAAAAGACCACATTTATTCGTCAAAGACTGAAGGAACCCCCAAGACTATGGCTCTAAGACACCCTTCTAAACTGGAACTAAAGCCATTCCTGGAGACCACCTTTCAGCCAAAGCATAGACAGGCCCATAAAGTGAACAATGACACCCAGGAGGAGCATGCTACTTACAACAATCAGTTATACAAGATCAAAAGGGCAACATCTGCCCAAAAGCAAAGATGAGAAGGCAAGAAGGGGTAGAAAATCAGGATGGAGATGGGGCGAGTGCCAACACATTGTGGGGAATAGGACCAATGTTGTGGAACACTTTAAGTGCAAACTATGGGATGGGAAACTAATTTGCTCTGTAAGCTTTTACCTAATGCACGATAAAAATTTTTTTTTAAAAAAGAAATTTTTGAGGACTAATGGACCACAACTACCACAGCCTACACCAGACTGAGTCCAGCACAACTAGTTGGTGCCCAGCTACCACCACTGACTGCTCTGACAGAGATCACAATAGAGGGTCTTGGACAGAGCTGGATAAAAATGTAGAACAAAATTCTAACTCACAAAAAAAGACCAGACTTACTGGCCTGACAGAGACTGGAGAAACCCCAAGAGTATGGCCCCTGGACACCCTTTTAGCTCAGTAATGAAGTCACTCCTGAGGTTCACCCTTCAGCCAAAGATTACACAGGCCCGTAAAACAAAATGAGACTACAGGGGCACATCAGCCCAGGGGAAAGGACGAGAAGGCAGGAGGGGACAGGAAAGCTGGTAATAGGGAGAGTGTTGACATGTCGTGGGGTTGGTAACCAATGTCACAAAACAATATGTGTACTAATGTTTAATGAGAAGCTAGTTTGTTCTATAAACTTTCATCTGAAGTACAATAATAAAGAAAGAAAGAAAGAAAGAAACTTTTGGAGGTGATGAATATGTTCACTGTCTTGATTGTGGTGATGGTTTCATGGCTATATACATGTGTAAAAACTTCTGAGTTTGTGCACTTTAAATATGTGAAGTTTATCATATGCATATTATAACGCAGTAAACTATTTAAAAAATAAAAATAAGAATATATTAGAAGCACAAAGAGGAGTAACACTCAGTTTAATCCTCAGAGAACTCACAATCAGGGAGCGAGAGAAACTCTAATAATTATAAATTTGTATGAAAAGGGCTATAATAGGAGGTATGTGGAAAGTGTTGTGGGATAGTGCGAGGTATGGACTCCTCTGCATGAAATGATTTGGCCCTTTCGTCCTGGTTCTGAAAGTAGGCCCACACCTGAGGCCAATAAGTAGGGGCCAACCTAAGAGGGATCCCCTGGGGCCCAATGCGCATTAAGCCTCCAGAGGCTGGTGGTGAGGCCAATAAAAGCCTGTATACATAATGTATACATAAAAATCACCTGGGGGATCTTGTTAAAATGTATACATAAGAATCACATGGGATCTTGTTAAAATGTATACATAAGAACCACCTCGGGATCTTGTTAAAATGCAGATTCTGATTCAGTATATCTGGAGTGGAAAGGCAAATTCTCAGCAGAGGGTCGAACCAGAATGAACCAGTTGGAAGCCCTGCTGGGGACACGGAAGATCTGCTGAAGAACAACCCTCCTCTCCCTCAATCCTTGTCCCAGGGTGGAGACAAGAGAAGAGATTGGAGATTCTTCAGAAGAGACTAGCAACCAATATGTGTGTAAATTTTTGAATGAGAAATTAACTTGAGTTGTAAACTTTCACTTAAAGCACAATTTAAAAAAAAAAAAAGAAGAAGAAGAGACTGGCACCGTAACAGCAGAAACCCTGGATCCAGTAGAAGGCAGAGCTGGGAGAAACGGGCAGAGGCTGGAAGAAAGCAGACGCTGGCGTCCGCTGAACACAGAAGTGGCAGCAGAGTGGTCTGAGAAAAGTGGGCTGAGAACTGTAACGCGCACTTAGGGCTGCTCCAGCACTGGAAGCAGCAGCAACCAGGCGCAGTCCAGGACAGTCACTAGCGGGTCCGGGCAGCAGAAGAAACCCTACCCAGAGCATGTGCAGGGGCCAAGCCTGGGTGTGCCTCATGTTGGGGTTGCCCTCGGAGCAGTTCTGCTTTGAGAGTTGTCCTGAGGCTGTCCCAGGGCTGTCCCAAGGCTGCTGGGTAAGAGCTGGACCAGCAGTGAACGTGCTGACACATAAACTGTGCCAGCCCATTGACGTGACATGACATAAGAGTAAATATCGATTTTCCATTATGAAACTTTAAGAGTGAACACTGATTTCTATTTAATGTTTGCTATTTATTTTCCATGTGCTGATGCTGTAGGAGCATCTTGTGTGTTCTGACTCTAATCAGATGGTCATGATATTTACGGTGGGATCACTATTAGTGAACAACCTGTGTGTGCACCGCAATAATAAATTTGTATTGTTTAAACTACCTGTGAGTGCATCACAGGTAGGAGGTGGAAGGTGGCAAGACTGGGGTTGGTAAGGTGGACTGGCCCTAAGTTGTGAAGTAACTTGTTTTATCATCTCATTTCTTAGTTTTCCTCATTCTGATTTATATGGTTCTTTTACTTCTTATATCATTTTCTTAATGTCTTTAGACTTATCTTGTAATTAGTTTTAGCATACTGTTTTATCATATCATTTTATCATATCTGTATAATATCTAGCCCAAGACATTTTGTCAGCCTATCTTTCTGGTGTGCTCTTATTATCCATATCATTGAACATTTTCAATCAGGGGAGTGATATGATCGTATCTGTTTTAGAAAATGATCTTGTTTTGGTTACAGAGTGAAAGATGGTCTGCAGGAACAAGAAACTATGAGCAAAAACACCAACAAGAAGGCCAACAAGTGGAGATGGGGAGGAGAAACAGATGAGAAATTTAGAATGGTGAAAAACTGAACTGGGGAAGTAGGGTAGGAAATGAGGGAGAAGGAGGAGAGGAGGATGACTGCAAGGCTGAGCAACTGTGATATGGGAGAGGCAGAATCAGAGAGAAAGACAATGAATCTGGTATTGGACAGAACAGAGATTACGCTGTTTTCTCTAATGCCTCCGATTCTTTCTATCCATTCTATATAAAGCCATCAGTTTAATGTTCTGGTTCCCCCAGCCTGCAGAACCACAGCTATCTACAAGGCCCTGACTTGTCTTTCCAGTGCTTTCTCCAAGTTTCCCCAACAGAAACCTTCCTTCCTGTCGATGTGATCACCTTCTGCCTCTGCCATTCCCTGGAGTAACTTCCTCTCCTAATATGTCCTCCACATTATCCCCCGCCTCATGCCACCTTACTCTAAGATTTTTTTTCCCCATACTTCAAGGCCTTGCATATCCCTGAAGACTTCCTGACAGTCTTAGAAGTCACTCTCTTCTCAAAACTTTATAAATCCATATAGTGTTTCAAAGCAAACTCTGTCATAAACTACTATGCCTTTTCACTTGTCTTCTGAGCACCACCTCTTCTAGGAAGCTGTTCACAGCCCTCTGGTCTCTATCAGCCACCAATTCCTGCACTTCCTCTATCATGGCAGTTATCATGTGTTATTACACTTGCTCCTGAGAGAACCACTGTCCAGTTTGTATATCACAGAGCACATCAAAATTCATCATCTCATCTGGGCTCTTTTCCACTGTTCCATATTCCACTGAAGAAAGACAGAAATCTATGACCTCACAGTGTCAACTCTTTCTCCCTCACAACCAACCATCACCAAACCCACTGCCGTGGAGTTGATTCCAACTAATAGTGACTCTACAGAACAGAGCAGAATTGCCCCTATAGGGTTTCCAAGGCTGCAAATCTTTACAGAAGCAGACTGCCACATCTTTCTGCCATTGAGCTGCTGACAGGTTGGAACCTCCGACCTTTCAGTTAGCAGCTGGGCTCTTTAACCACTGCACCACCAGGGGTCCTTAAACTATCACCAAGCCCTGTATCTCCGTAATAAATCTTTCATCCCTGTACTTCTCCACTGCCATCCCTCTACCGAATCCTAGTTGTCCTCTACTCTGGTTCTAATTTCTCAGCATTGCAACCAGAATCACTTTCCAAAAAAAAGTTGATCTTGCCATGGCGTGCTTATACATTTCAATGACTTTTTTAGGATAAAGACAAAAATATTTACCAGGATCAATTCTCAATTCTGCAGGAAAGCCTTCCCTGATTCCCCAGCCAAATACCCCTATTATGCACCCTTCCAGAACCGTGAACTTTCTCTTCGTGACATTTATCGCTATCGTTATTTTACATTTATTTGGATACTTTAATATCTGTTACTCTAGACAATAAGCTTCATTAAAACAGTCACTCTACCTGTGCAATGGCTAGCACAGCGCCTGGCACACTGCAGTTGCTCAATGAATATTTGCTGAATGAATGAAGTCCTCTCTTCATCTCTCCACCGCGGCCCCCCTACCTTCCCCCAAAAAGTGAGCCAAGGCAGAGGCCCTATCTATCCTGCCGACTATTGTTCCCAGCGCCCAGCAATGGGTTCGATGCCTACCTAGAAGTGTTTGGTTAATAAATAAATCGGGTGAAGGAAGAAATGAAGGGGAGATAGTGAGTCAGAGGCCGGGACAACCTAAGACGGAGGAGGCCTGACACCGGGAGCTTCCGCCTCTCCTAGAGAGTGTCGCCAGGAGAGTTCCCACCTCGGAGCCGAAAACGGTCCAGAAAAGAGGCCGGATCCTGCCAGGCCAAAACGTGACCGGAGCTCCCCAGCCCCTAGCGAACTTTTCTCCACCTCTTCCTACCACGAGAAAGACCCCCACCCGTCATTACACAAACACACAGCCTTCCGATTCAGGGTTACTCACAGGCGCAGCGGTTTCTGAGCCATCGATCCCAATAACCTGGGTTCTGACAAGCACTGAGAATCAAGAACCCGAACCCGCGCTCCACGGAAAAACGCGATCGAAGTACACTGAAACGTCAACACACTCCAACCAATGAAAGCTCACTTATCTACGGAGAGCGCTGAGGGACAAAAGTTTCTCTTTGGTGGCTTCGTTTTAAGGAGGTGTCAAAAAGGAAGGACAGTAGTGGAGGAAGAGAAAAGGACTTTGTTGTTGTTAGTTGCCACCGAGAGTTGATTCTTACTTATGAAGGTCGCCACGAGGGAGAGGACTAAAAGGGTTCTAATTATGATTTTTCATTCCAGGGCAATTTAACGAAGTTATTGAGTTGCTAGTTTCCGGCACAAAGCTGGGCACTAACTTAACCTGTCAGTCTAGAAAGGAAGATAGAGTCCCTCCACACTTTGATAGGTTTTGTTAAAAACTTATCAAAAAGTTAAAAGAATAATGGCCATCACCTCAATTCAGTAAGTGTCAACATGTTCCCATATCTCTCTCTAGGTGCACAAGCACTTTTTATTTTCACTGACTCATTTGAAAATAAATTGCAGATGTGACTCTTCACTCCCAAATACTTCAGCGTGTCAAGACTAAGGACATACATAACTACAACACACCTAGGAAAATTAGCATTTAGTTCGATAATATCACCTAATACACATCCATATTTAAATTTCTCCGTTTGTTCCCCAAAATTTATTTTATAACTAGAGTTTGTTTTCATTCAAGGTCCAATCAAGTTTCACCCTTGCATTTGGTGATATCTCTGTTGTTTCTGGGTGCCGTGGAGTTGAATCTGACTCATAGCGACCCCATGTGACAGAGCAGAACTGCCCCCATAGGGTGTTCTAGATTGTAATCTTTAAGGGAGCAGATCACCAGGTCTTTCTCCCACTGAGCCGCTTGCTGGATTCCGACCGCCAATCTTTCAGTTAGCAGCCGAATACAACCGTTGCACTATCGGGGCTCCTTGGTGATACCTCTAGTCTCTTTTTAAAAATCTGCAATAGTCCACCTATCTTTTTGGTTTTGTTTTTCATGACATTTACATTTGTGGAGAGTTCAGGCCAATTGATAGGAGAAATCAGTGTGTAAAAGTACGTGGAAACAAAGGAGTTCCTGACAACTAAAGAGCGGGAAGTCTCATCAAGGGCACCCAGGTAGTTAAAAAATTAATTAAAGCATAAAATAAGTTTAAGGAAGAACCACAAAGTTTTGATTTTCCCACAACTTCTGCGGTGCTGTTTTGGAAACTACCAAGTTCCTTGCCTCACATATACTGATGCCCCTACTTTGTTGGACCCCTAAGCACATGTTATTTTATTCTTTTTGGGTAACATAGTACTGCTCAGGAGTGACATCAAGACTGAATCATCTACAATTACCTATCTACTCTTCTACAAGAAGAGTAGAAGTTTGCCAAACATGGGCAGGTAATAATTCCAGGAAGAGGAATTTTGTACTATCTTTGCAACTTTTCTGTGAATCTATTCTAAAATATAAAGTTTATGAAAAGAAAACTCATCCATGGGAATTTAAGGTAGCTGAAGATAGCTGAACACAGTCCAAGTATAGAAGTAGCAGGAGATGAAATTGAAGGGAAAAAAAAATGTGGGTCCTGTATGCATCCTAGGAGGGAAGAGGTTTGTTCAAGGAGAACATAAGAAGTCCCTAAAGGATTCTGTTGTTAGGGGCCATGGAGTCAGTTCCGACTCATAGCAGCCCTAAGTACAACAGAATGAAACACTGCCCAGTCCTGCACCACGCTCACAATCATTGCTATGTTTGAGCCCATTGTTGCAGCCACTGTATCAGTCCATCTTGTCAAGGGTCTTCCTCGTTTTTGCTGACCTACTTAACAAAGCATGATGTCCTTCTCCAGGGACAGTCCTTCCTGATAACATGTCCGAAGTACATGAGACAAAGTCTCGCCATCCTTGCTTCTAAGGAGTATTCTGGCTGTACTCCTTCCAAGACAGATTTGTTCCTTCTTCTGGCCGTCCATGGTATATTAAATATTCTTTGTCAACAGCATAGTTCAAAGGCATCAACTCTTCTTGGTCTTCCTTACTCATTGTCCAGCTTTTGCATGCATATGAGGCAACTGAAAACACTATGGCTTGAGTCAGGTGCACCATAGTCCTCAAAGTGACATCTTGACTTTTCAACACTTTAAAGAGTTCTTTTGTAGCAGATTTGCCCAATGCAATATGTAGTTTGATTTCTTGACTGCTGCTTCCATGAGCGTTGATTGTGGATCCAAGTAAAATGAAATCCTTGACAACTTCAATATTTTCTCCATTTATCATGATGTTGCTTATTGGGCCAGTTGTGAGGATTTTGGTTTTCTTTAGGTTGAAGTGTAATTCATACTGAAGGCTGTAGTCTTTGATCTTCATCAGTAAATACTTCAACTCCTCTTTGCTTTCAGCAAACAAGGTTATGTCATCTGCATATCACAGGTTGTTGAGAGTCTTCCTCCAATCCTGATGCCACATTCTTCTTCATATAGTCCAGCTTCTTGGATTATTTGTTCAGTATACAAATTGAATAAGTATGGTGAAAGACTGCAACTGTGATGCACACCTTCCCTGATTTTAAACCATGCAGTATCCGGCTGTTCTGTTTGAACAACTGCCTCTTCGTCTATGTACACGTTCCACATGAGCACAATTAAGTGTTCTGGAATTCTCATTCTTTGGAATGTTATCCATAATTTTTTATGATCCACACAATAAAATGCCTTTGCATAGTCAATAAAACACAGGTAAACATCTTTCTGGTATTCTCTGCTTTCAGCCAAGATCCATCTGACATCAGCAATACTATCCCTCATTCCATGTCCTCTTCTGAATGCAGCTTGAATTTCTGGCAGTTCCCTATTGATGCACTGCTGCAACTGCTTTTGAATGATCTTCAGCATAATTTTACTTGCATGTGATATTAATGATACTTTTCAATAATTCCAGCATTCTGTTGGATCACCTTTCTTTGGAATAGGTGTATATATGGATCTCTTCCAGTTGGTTGGCCAGGTAACTGTCTTCCAATTTCTTGACATAGACAAGTGAGCACCTCCAGCGTTGAATTTGTTTGTTGAAACATCTCAATTGGTAGTCCATCAATTCCTGGAGCCTTGTTTTTTGCCAATGCCTTCAGTGCAGCTGGGACTTCTTCCTTCAGTACCATCTGTTCTTGATCATATGATACCTCCTGAAATGACTAAATGTCAACTAATTTTTTTGGTACAGTGACTCTGTGTATTCCTTCCATATAATTGTCTGATTCAAAACGGCCAATACCAGTCCACTTCAGCTTACTAATGCCCCGGATATCAATCTTGAGAATCGTTCCATTTCATTTTTGACAATTTCCAATTTTCCTTGAGTCTTACTTGGTGCATTCCATGTTCCGATTATTAACGGATTTTTGCAGCTGTTTCTTCTCATTTAGAGTCATGCCACATCAGCAAATGAAGGTCCCAAAACCTTTACTCCATCCATGTCATTAAGGCCAACTCTACTTTGAGGAGGCAGCTTTTCCCCAGTTGTATTTTGAGTGCCTTCCTACCTGAGGGGCTCATCTTCCAGCATTATACCAGACAATGTTCTGCTGCTATCCATAAGGTTTTCACCGGCCAATTTTTTAAAAGTAGACAGCCAGGTCCTTCTTCCCAGTCTGTCTTAGTCTGGAAGCTCCACTGAAACCTGTCCACCATGGGTGACCTTGCTGGTATTTGAAATACCGGTGGCATAGCTTCCAGCATCACAGCAACAGACAAGCCACCACGGTATGACAAATTGACAGACAAGTGGTAGTAAATGATTCCAAGCAGGAGGAATAATGTGGCCAGTTTACCTTTTAGAAAGAGTGCCCTGGCTGCAGTGTAGAGGGTAGACCGGAGGGGTGGTTAAGACGAGAAGAGAGACCACAGCCAATAGTCCAGAGAAGCAGAGGATAAATCATGGTGGTCTGGAACAGAGATAGTAGGAATAGACAGAGAACAGAATTAAAAACTCTTTTGGAGGTAGAATTGGGAACCGCAGGCACCTTTCTAACTGCTAACACCCAATTCTGGGTAAGGTTGCCTGTCTTCCAAACCAGTATCCCTCAATCATTGATGTCTTTAGTCTGCAAGGAAGACATCCGGGTCCCCAGGACCCTCCTGACCCCTCAGACACAAGTAGGAAAATATTTCATAAAATGCTTGATTTTACAAGTGGCAGCCCCCACCTCCTCATCCAACACATACACATCTTGTTTTGGTCTTTATCACATTTCCAGAAAGGAGCATGTGTCAATCAACCATCCCCAGACATCTGACATACAAAGAGAAGAGACAGGAAGGGCCCATCACATGCACCAAGCTATCACAACCCTCCTTTCACTGTTTCTGCTCAGTGTAGAAGACTTGGCCTGGAATTATTTTAAGATGTTCTGTTATTTGCAATGTTATGGAAAAGTAAATTACTGACATCCAGAAGGTGATAAACTGCAAAGCACAAGTTTGTTTTGTTTTCCTTTTTTAATTTAGATTCTTGTCAACAATACATTAGCATCATTAATAGCAAAAACAACCATTTATACAGTAACTTAAAGACCAGCCATTTAAGAAAATAATGAAGTACTCAACCACTACCAGAGAAAACAGGTCCTTTCATCTGTTTCTACTGGCAAGCCCAGGTTTATTCTGAACTTTTGAGTCTCTGTCCTGAATGGATGGTAAAGCACTCAGGTAGAAGGAAAGGAGTTACAAGTGTGAGTTTTTGAGGGATACTGCCTCATAGGAAGTTTAGGAGTAGCCATAGTCCTCCAGTTTACTCCAGTGTTGGGATGTTCCAGCATCATTTCCTTTTGAGGAGTTCTGACAATTCCATCAGCCCCAGGATTCAGATCTTATAAAACGTTCTTACACTTTAAAAAAGACTCTGTCTCATAGCAATAGGTTTTTCATCGCTTCTCCAGCTTCTTGTACTTGGCTTCTGCAGAGGGGAGGAAGGAAGAAAGTTACATCTTTTAAAACTGGCTCTTCTAAAGATACTTTTTTAGTTAGCATTTTCAGGCAAATTTTGAAAATATCTATTATATTTTTTAAAAAATCTATCAGCTGCAATCTCATCATCTGTCCAAATATACAGATCATCGATGTAGCACAACTTAAAATAAGGAGTCAAGCATACACACAGACACAGAATTGAGAACCCAGTACAATTTCACTAAGCTCTAGTCCTGTCAACAGCACCTGCCTGTACAGCTCCACCAGGATTAGGCAGATCTACTTGTACTTGACCTACTGAGCCCTAAGCACAGGAAACTGCTTTTGCCTGAATGTCCCAGGCACCCTCTGGGAGCCAGGCTGAAATGCTCAGGAAGTATAAATGTATTTTTCTCCTTTTATTTTCTTATCCCTACAACTCACTCCAGGAAACCAATTTTGAAAGATGTAGAGATTTAAAAGGCCATCAAATAAGCTTCTTAATAGATTCCCTTTTTCTTTTAAAACCTTCAAAGCACCTGGCAACATGCCTTCTACATAGTAAACTTCACAGTAACCACTTACTAAACATAATAATGGACAATGAAACTGTTAATCACCACCCACATCAAATCTCAGACTACTGTAAACCACTCTCTTTAAGTAGTCAATAATTATTAATGATGAAAATAAAATAATATGTAAATTATATCTAGGGCAAAAACAGATTAAACATTTTTAATCATGGATGTAAGAGTCAGAGCCAGTTAGCAAGTCAACGCTAAATGTACCTCCTTAAAGGAAAATTAATCCTTCAAGAAAACTCTTAATTAGCCAGTTTTTGCTTTTTAAAACTTATGTTTTTACATTATTAAAGTTGCTTCAGTCTGCTGAACCATGATTAAGAGCTTGAGCTTTGTGGTCAAACAGACCTAGTTTAGAATATGGCTCCTTCACATACTAGCTTTGTGACCTTGAGCAAGTTACTTAACCCCTTAAATCTCAGTTTCCTCCCCTGTAGAATGGGGATGAAAATTGTGTACTTACTGCAAAGATTACTGGAAGGATAAAAAATATAATACACGTGAAGCGCTAAGAACAGTGCCTGATGTATCACTAAGTACTCAGGAAATGTTATTTCTGTTAATAATAAAATTACTCTCACTGGGTTTTCATGAAGATTAAAGGATAGAATACTGTAGGCACTCAAAAATGCTAACTATTCATATTCACTTGGGACATACTGGCAGGGAGTACTCCTTATCAAACCAAAATAGAAATAAAAATTACCCAGTTTTTTTGAATATGCATCCAACTTGTAGGCTGCCTGCTCAAGGGCTGCTACCTGCTCCTCAATTAAATTGATCTGATCCAGATAAGGCTGCAGTCCAGCATCTTTAAAAACAAAGACAAACCACATGTTTGTATGGGATCAACAAGGAGTGTAGAAAAAGGGTGGAAAAGTAAGAATGCTAGTGTCTCTACTGCTCTGCCTAAGAAAGACTAGGTGGGTTGACATGAATTCTGATCACTAGTAGGGCAGATGCTTTAGAAGCTAGCTCATCAGGTACAACTGTGACCCAGACAAAGTAAACCTCTCTCATAACTAACGTTCCTTTCTTTTTAATTCCTTGTTCCTCAGGCAATCTTTCCATTAATGATTCAGTTTCTTGAGTACTCTCAAACAAAGAAAGAGTGTCCTGGAGATAGGGAACACAAATATAAGTCAACGGAAAAATATAACTCACCATTCTAAATTAGCATTTTCCATTTATAGATTTTCTGTTTCTAGAATATTCCTTTATGGATATTAAATCAATTCAGTAGAGTCAGATCACCCCTCCTCTGCCCCCTCCTTTTCCAAGAATAAACTGATAAAATTAAGATTCAAAGACAGAAATAACCCAGCCTCTGCTCCCTTCCTTTCTAAGAATAAACTGATAAAATTAAGATTCAAAACCAGAAATAACCATGCCGCAAAAGCATGCTAATCCTCAGAATGTAAGAAACTCACCCTAACTTTGTAATTCATTTTTAGCAAAGGACTCCCTTAGGACAGAGGCCATGTTCCCTTCCCTTCTCCACAGCCCTAAGCACAAAAGGACACTAAATACAAACATACTTAATTATAAAAAGTATTACTTACACTTCTGGTTTAAGTCCTTTAAGTTTCTACTAATGTTTATAGCAATATCTTTCATTTCAAGATACTTCAAGCTGGTTAGTTTATTCATATTTTCCAGGAGCTTATAATCTTCACCGGTGGCTTTAAAATAAAAAGAAAATGGATGCCTTTAAGATTTGTCTTGGATCACTGAAATGTGAAATTATGGACAAATTATAGTTTAAGGCAGGACCTAGGAGTATCAAAGGAACAGGCCCCTTTTAATTTATGACATTTATAATCAGTCTGTGTGCTTTGAAGGTCTAAGTGAAACCCAGGCAACAATCAGCAAACTATTCAAACAAGATTCAGAAATTTCAGGATCCTGGTTAGGAAGGGAAAAGATAAACTCACATGCTAAGAAAAGTGTGGCCAAAAAGTCATAGTATCTCAGTTTCTGCAGCATAAAAACATGTATTTAAGGGGATAGCATTAAAAAAAAAAGTATACCATAAACTAGGACCTTACCCCTCCTCAGTAACTGATTTATTATTGTGCATAATTCTATATTGCATTTTATACATGATTTTTCCAAACCATTAGATTGCTCCTCAAATCCTCAATTCCCATCACCACTCAAAGGAAAAGGCCTCTATCACAATTTTCTGAAAACAAAGTGACCCTTGTTTTAGAGACTAATTTGGTAGCAGTGAGAATATGGATATGGGGTTGGGGGGTGGGGTGGTGGACAAAAGACATGAACAGTAGTTCAATGAGAAGTGATGGTCTGAAGCAGTGATTGTAAAAGGAGTGGGAAGGAGAGCATGGGTGCAAGAAATCTGCTGCTAAGACTCCATCAACCTGAGACCAGTAGAACTAGATGGTGCCCAGCTACAACCAATGACGGCCTTGACAGGGAACACAACGAAGAGTCCCTGATGGAGCAGGAGAAAAGTGGGGTTCAGAACTCAAATTCTAGTAAAAAGACCAGACTGAACGGTCTGACTGAGACTGGAGGGACACCAGAAGACATGGCCTCCAGACTCTCCATTAGCCCAGAACTGAAACCATTCCCAAAGCCAACTCTTCAGACAAAGATTAGACTGGACTTTGGGACATAAAATGATACTCGTGAATACAGTGCTTCTCAGCTAAAGTAGATACATGAGTCTAAATGAGCAGCTCCTGTCTGGAGGCGAGACGAGAAGGCAAAAAGGGACAGGAGCTGGTTGAACGGACGTGGGAAATCTGCGGTGGAAAGGAGGAGTGTGTTGTCACAGGGAGAGCGGCTAGGGTCACATAGCAATGGGTGTATAAATTTTTGTATAAGAAACTGACTTAACTGTAAACTTTCACTTAAAGAACAATTGAAAAAAACATGCTGCCAATAAACTGTGGAACCACAAAAAAAAAAGAAAGAAAAGAAAACCTTACAGAGTACGCATCTACTCTGACACAAGGTTGCCATGAGTCAGAATCAACTAGATGGCAACTGATTAAGTGAATAAAAGCAGTTATAAAAATAGTATAAGCTCATAAAAATACACTTTATGTGTAAAAGACACATACAGAAAAGAAGCTAACATCTGTCAAAATGTTAATGGTGGCTACCTCTATATAGTTAGATTAAAAGTGATTTTTATTTAAAAAAAACACAAAGAAATCTGTTGTTGTTCTTGTGTCCCATTGAGTCAATTCCAACTCATAGCAACACTTCATGACAGAGTAGAACTGCCCCATAGGGTTTCCTAGGCTGTAATATTTATGGGAGCAGATTACCAAGTCTATTCTCCCGCGGAGCTGCTAGGTGGCTTCAAACCACCAACCTTTAGGTTAGCAGAGAGCACTTAACCATTGTGCCCTAGGGCTCCTGCAAGGATAATGCAGAAGTGGAATTTACAGGACATGTTGAAGTGGGTACTGATGAGTGGCAGCAGCCTAAGGTATATCTGAAGTTTTAAGCTTGGGTAACTGAAAGAACAGTGGTGCAATTAACCAAAATAGGGAAGCTGGAAAGAGGAACTATGTTGAGTGTGAAAATAATGTTTTCAGTTTTGGCTTGAAGTAAGCCAGGTGTTTGCATATTAAATACGTAAGAAAATTATTCACTTCCATAAAGAAATATGCTCTCTCCTACTTCTTGGACCACGTAGTCCCCTTGGTCTATCATTCACTTTACCAGTTTTGATAGAGACAACAACCAATAAAATCAACAGTATTAGAACAGTGATAAATGGCAATGAACTCAGGAAAGGGGAGAAAACAGGGAGTGGTGGGGATAAACTGGATAGCACTAGACCTCTCTAAAGGTGACAGCTGCTCAGCTGTAGTCAATTATAGTCTTACAAGAATGGGTGCCTACTATTGACAAATCTTTGGAATTTTAAAAGAGAATTTAAAAATCTAGGTTTTCTTACTTGGCTTCTCTTGCTCAAAAATAAATAAATAAATAATCAGGCCAATAAATTAGAGATTTACAACATTTCCTATTCTGCACCAAGCCTTTCCTCACAGATTCTGGGGCACATATTTAGCTCACAGCCATTTCCTAGGGAAGTGAAACAATATACTAAATGCTTGTGAACCACAGTGAACCAGACTGCAATTTCTGGACCCTCCTGGACACATGGGTCATGATTACTGCTCACCTGGAAACACACACTGGGCCAAGAAACTAATCATGCCCCAAGGGTGGGTGATCAAATCCTTAGACCAAACTACTAGGTCCCTAAATCTGCAGGTCACTCCCTAAAAACCAAATTTCATTTCTCTATATTCCAGCAAACATGTCTGCTTTAGCCAAACAAACTGCCTGCTTATATCACCTCACTCCTTCAACTTCTCTCATCCCCCCTTTTCTGTCAATCATTCCCTTCACAATGCTGCTCAAAATACCCCTCCCTAAGGAAGCATTTCTTTTTTCTTTTTTTAGGAAACAACTTTTTTTTAAATTGTGCTTTAAGTGGAAGTTTACAGTTCAAGTTAGTTTCTCATACAAAAGTTTATACACACATTGTTACGTAACCCTAGTTAGGAAGCATTTCTTGATTAATATTACTAGACATTAACTCTATGCTGCTTTCTCAACATTAGTCTACGCCACAGAGGCCTACACACAGGTGTCTTAAATATTCATATATGTGCGTCTGAAAGTAGGTTCCTGAGCTTCTCCAAGGAAGGGATGCACCTCTTTCCGTCCTATTCATGACTCCCCAAAATAACAAAAGGCCGGTCTCAGGGCATGTGGGATAGAGGAGGGAGCGGTAGACTGACGCTGCAGAAGCACATCACAGGTCTCCTGGAGCCAAACCGCGGGTGGCAGGGAGTGGTGCACGGCCATATCCCGAAAAAACCCGGACCCCGTCTCACCCGTCAGCTCCCCAGTCAGGTAAGTGGCCATCTTGGAGAACATGTCCCGGCACAGCTCATTGATGTCAGCCTCAGCGGGCTCCTTTGCTTCCTCAGCAGTCTCCACTGCAGCATCATCTGCATCAAGAGAGAATGAGTAAGTGTCGTGCCCTACACCCAGTCCTAATTGAGCCAAAGGAGCCACTTCCACACCCCTCCACCTGCCTTTACTCGAGCAAATTAGCTCCATTCTCCATCTGCCATAATCTCAAATCCCTCATCCGACCTTGCACTCTGACACGCCAACTCTGTCCCCGTGCACCGAACCCCGGCTCATAACGGATCCCGCGGCCAAACCATCTCAGTCGCCCTGACAGGTCAAACACTCACACACACAGGTGCGCCCTCCGACCAGCTAGCACCTGCCAGGTGAGACAACCACACACTCAGCCCCGCCTTCCTGGGTCCTTCACCCTGGGCCGCCCTCCTGCGGCCCCTAACCAGAGCCCCAGACCTCCTGCCGGACAACTCGTTCCCATCCACTCCAGGTACCTCGAGCCGGTTCTTCAGTTCGGTTCGCCGGGATGGCCTCCGCTGCCGCCGCCATACCGAACCAGCGCCGCTTCCGGTTCTGGGATGCCCGCGCACGCGCACTGGGCGTGGTCCGCCCACCCTCGCCTCCCGAGACCTTCGGAAGGCCGTGGGCTTGGTTTCGCAGTTCTTTGGTCCTCGGCGTTTGCCCTAGGTCATGCTTCAAATAGTGAATTATAAAAAAAGTGTAACTTTTTTTGAACCCACCCAGCGACTCCACGGGAGAATAGACTTGGTAATCTGCTCCCATAAATATTACAGCCTCGGAAACCCTATGGGGCAGTTCAGGAAGTCAAAATTGAAGCTAACGTAGGCTATCGTTAACTGATCCACTGCCAAAAGTCGCAAGTCTGGGACTGAACCTGCGCTCATAGCTGCAGCCACACCTTCTACACCCGGCTGGGGTTGAAGCCCACTCTGGCCTGATGACCGAAGTCACCGGAGACAGGTTGTTCTCTCCCCAGAGACTCCGCACTTTGGCTGGTGTTAGTCACAGAAAAAGTTTGCCCAGGGGATCCATGCTTTTGAAAGTAGTCTCATCCAGGCTTTGGGAAACCTTCAGACATTGGTCCCTGATCCTAAATACTTACCATTCCAGTATCCTGGATTAATACTGACTTGTTGGCTCTTTTTCCTTAAACTGCACGCTGGCACCTACTCCTCTTCACTTGATACGGCCTTTCTTGAAGAAAGCTTAGATTGTAACATCTTCAGGGCTGAGAATACACTCTGGTTATCTTAATTGCAAGGAGCCGTGGTGGCTCAGTTGTTAAGAGCTTGGCTGCTAACTGAGAGGTTGGCATTTCAAACCCACCAGTTTGAATCCACCAGCCACTCCAAGGGAGAAAGATGTGGCAGTCTGCTTCCGCAAAGATTTACAGCTTTGGAAACCCCATGGGGCAGTTCTATTCTCCCCTATAGAGTCGCTGTGAGTCAGAATTAGACTTGATGGCAATGGGTTTTTTGCTATCTTAGTTGAACTTAACCTGTTCACAAGTCTCCTGCTGTCCTTGTGTGTGGATGGAGTCAATTCCAACTCATAGCGACCCTATAGGACAGAGTAGAACTGCCCCATAGGGTGTCCTAGGCTGTATTCTTTGCGGGAGCAGAGCCACTGGTGGGTTCGAACCGCTGACCCTTTGGTTAGGAGCCGAGTGCTTGACCATTGCCACTAGGGCTCCTCACAAGTCTCCTAGGTGTATCCAAACCAAAAACCAAACTAGTTGCCTTCCAGTGAATTCTGACTCATGGAGACCCCATGTGCAAAAGAATAGAACTGTGCTCCACAGGGTTTTCAGTGGCTGTTTTTTTAGGAGATTGCCAGGCCTTTCTTCCGAGGGTGTCTGGGTGAACTGGAACCACTGACCTTTAGGTTAGCAGCCTAGCATTAACTGCGCACCCCCACAGGCTCCCCAAGTGTCTTAAAAGGATGGAAGAAGAGGAGTAGGTGATGGAAATGGATGAGAAAAGTGACTGGGAAGCAATGGAAAGTGTAAAATGAGGAAGGGATAAATGGCACAGGGGAAAGGAGAGAGGATATATAGCAGGTCTCAGGATGCAGGCTTCTAGACACCCAACATCTTAGTGTAGGATTTTGTCTTATCCCTGGTTATCATCCCTCTGCACCCCCTCACCCCACATGCTGTACATGTGCACACTACAGCTACACCACGTCCCAGCCCTCTTAACCTTACTTTCTCCATCCTGAGGTCCAAGTCTCCCAGATCACTCTCTTCACTCTCCTTCATGGTACAATCACAGTGCCCCCCATTTCAAACTATTCCTAAGAGTCAGTAGTTCTTACTTCAGGACTCCTGGGGCAGTCTAGCTTCTTCGCCTTGTCACTGCCTCCAATCCCATACCTACCAGAGGAGATGAGCCTTCCCCAGCCCAAGTACAAGGATGGCCCACAGTACCAGCCTCTCTTCTTCCCCACTGCAATCCCAAAAGCAAATGCAAAGTCCTAGTTTTTCTAAGGATTTTTATTGACAGTTACTAGGGGAATCTACATTGCTATGGGGAAGATTAGAGTCAGAGTGCACCACATTTTAGTCCAAAGATCTCCAAATCCTGAGGGCATTCCCTTGCCTGCTTCATCTCCTGGCTTACAGCCCCCTCAGTTCCCAGCATTCAGTAGAATATCAGGATGCAGGCTCCTCCACAGGGTCTCCGTTGACTTCTGTGAGGGTATCACTCCAGCACATCTGCAACAAGGTGAGATTCACTCCTCTCACTCCTCTTCTTCTTGTTTACAGGGAAGCTCTGTGGAGAAGACAAGAAACCCAAAGGTGCTAGCAGATCTGTAGATACATAAAGGATAAGAAGATTCACTGGCAGGTGGGAAGACATCTAGACACTGCTTGCTGTCTCGGATCCTACCTTTTTCTCAAATCATGGCTATCCAAGTGTTTGGGGGAGAGTTATTACCCTCCCTTCCTTTATTCTGTTTGTTATTGGCATTTTTTATCACCACAGCACGGCTAGGAGCACAGGGACTGAGAGGCCCAGAGAGAAATGTTATTTCACAGTGCTACAGAGCTACGTGGCTACACACAGAAACACTGAGTCATAAGCCTAAGCATGATGCCCAGCTACACACAGATACATTGCTCAAAGACCAGACACAGGTTTGGGCCCAGCAGCAGCAGTGGTGGGACCTGCTGCCCTAAAGTGGAGTGTGTGTGGGGAAGGGGCTTCTAAGGAGGCAGTGAGAAAGGGAGCCTGCTGTCTGATGATTCAGGGCGCCTCCCTCACCACTCTCCTGCCCACCCTGGACTCCCCAGGGAGCTGGGGTCACAGCTAGGCCTGGCTGCAGATGCTCCCAAATGGCATGTTCCTCCTGGAAGAAGAAAAAGACAGGTCTTTTGAAGGAGAAGTTTATGTCCCATTTTCCTTTTCTCTGGACCTGATTCTCCAGCCCCAGCCATCTCCTAGAGCCTGAGGCAGCCCTTAGGCCAAGGCAACCAACTTCCAGACCTTCCCTCTACCGTCTATCCCTGCTGGTACACTGACTATGGATGTGTTGTCCCAGGGGCCTGAAAGTATAGGTCTTCAGAAAATGTTCCACCTCCATCCACTGAGTGGAAAAGATGGTAGTGTCAGCTGTGGGGAGCTAAGGGGACCCAGGTGAGGGCCACTTACCAGGCCTGGGGAGAGAGCCAGGTGCCCCTTCCTTTCCAGCATCTTCAGCTTTGAGCCCACAGATTCAACCCGGGACACGACTCCTTCTAAGACAGTCTCCAGCTGCAGAACCCTCCTTGTCAGTCTGTGCAGGATTTGAGAGAGACCGAGGGAGCAGAGCTATGTGTCTAGAGGGTGGGAGGGCTGAATGTCTGCAGAGGTGGGGGGACAGAACAGCATGTGGATGGGAGCAAGGAACGTAAGGCCCAGCCTTGTAGGGGGAACTGAAGGGGAGCAAAGGGTTTCTCCCCAAACTAGGATAGGGAATTGGAAGGTTGTAGAAAGAAGCCCAAGATAGGAGATAACAGACACAGCTGCCCCTGGGCCTTTGGCATTACATACGTGTGGAATTCTTCTCCTGAAACCCAGCCACCTGCTCTGGCAGCCTCTGAGCCCGACTCTCCTGGTGGACTACTCACAGTGCACTGGCCCAAGTTCTCAATCTCAGCACTGAGGGTCACCTGATCAGGAAGTCAGAGGCCAGAGGGAAGAGAATGATTCTGGAAGTCATCAGCTTCTGTTCCATCACCTGCTGTAATGGGCTCAGGACCAAGCCTTGGGCTCCAGTTCTTGCTATGCCTCTCCCCTCAGACTCTAGAGACAATAGGGCTGGGGTGGTGGTGAACACAAACCTGGCCCACCCTCTGGAGAGGGTATCACCTCCCAAAGAAACAAACTACAAGCTTGAAGCCTTGATTAGTGAGGTGTTTACTAGAGACCACCTCAGTTTGGGACAGAAGGAAAACCAGTTGCCTTCAAGTCAACTTCAACTCATGGCAACCTTATGTGTGTCAGAGTAAGACTATGCTCCATAAGGTTTTCAATGACTAATTTTTCAGAAGTAGAATGCAAGCAGCCTGTCTGAAGGCCCTGGGTGGACTCAAACCTCCAACCTTCTGGTTGGCTGCCTAGTGCGTTAACCATTTGCAGCACTTAGGACCAATGCCAGAATTCCTGAGCCTTCCCTCTGAGCTGCCATCATCTCCTGCCCTGGACTTTTTGGGTCTACACTGAATAGGGATGGAGCAGGCATAGCAGGGGCAGCCAAGGATCAGAGTTGGAAAACCCCAAGGACAGGGCAAGTCCTCAGAGGGAATTGTCAGGGATTCTTGGACAATTAGTCCATTTTTTGTAAGAGTGTGTTTTGGAGCCATGGTTGGCCACATATTGGAATCACCAGGGGAACTTTTAAAAATACTGGTGTCTGGATCAGATTTTCATTGGTATAGGGCATGCGGCCTTAATATCAGGATTTTTAAAAGCTCCCCAAAGTATTCTAATGTGCAGCAAAGTTTGAGAACCAGTATTCTAGAGAGTTTTCCTGCCCATCTATCAGAGGATTTTTCTATGCTGGGTGTGTAGGGGGGATGGGAATTTCCTTACACTGCTCCCCACCAGCCAACCAGGGAGGAGGGCAAGGGTGGCTCACCCTCTCCTCCTCCAGATTCTGTCGCATTTGTGCCTGCTCCTTCTCATCCAGGATGCAATTCCCGTCTTGGTCAAACCTGGTAAAGGCAGCTGTGAGCTCTGTGATTTCATGCTGTGCATGTCCCAGTCTAAGAACAGGATGATGAAATGACTTTTGATCTGTAGTAGCTGTGATCTCTCTAATATGGGCTCGCCACTCTCTTGCCAGACTCAATGCATGAGGGTCTTGCTCTTTAAGGAAGACGGGTACCACAGGGGCAAGCCAGGATCTCCAAGGTCTAGGAATTTTACCCCATGAAATCGCTTGAATTGATCTCTTATTCTTCCCCAAACTCCTGCTGCCTAGGTTCAAGCTCTCATGATCTCCTATGAGGATTATTGCAAAATCTGTTTCCCTCTAATTCACCT